ACAAGAAAAAATGGGAAACTATATAGGTACAAAGGGTAACCTCAGAGCATGCCATTAAAGTTTATCTTAAATTTTAAGTCATAATGAATGTCAAGAAATACAGATTTGATCCAAGAAAGAAAACGTCGGATATATCATAGAAATTGGCATACATTCCTACAATCTAATAGTACGTTATCAAGTACAATCTTCAACATTATTGAAGATAATTTATTTTATAATTGATTGTTGTAAAGCGCATAGAGAATTTATTATTATGCGCTATATAAAAATGACTTTATTATTATTATTATTATTATTATTTTGTTTCTCTCTTTAGCAAAAGTTCTAACGACTGTGATGTCGCATTGCGACCGGTTAGATCTTGGTGGGGTTTTAAGCAAAATTTCATAAAGAAAGAATGGGTATAGGTTACATAATTAGATAAAGGCGAGCGAGCTTTGAGTAAATTACAGAAAAAAATTATTGTGTCGTGGTAGAAGAGGTGCGTGTCTCTTTGATATCATTTTGTTGGATAATTCAATAAGTCGATTTCGATAAAGTAAATATTGATCATATTACTTTTTCAGTATTTTCAACGAGATGAGACTGGTATTACGGACAAGAGTGTAGATTTGTACAAGTTTGGCTAGGTTAAAAAGACATTATGAGTCCTCAGACTTACAGCAAGAGACATCCCTTCTGGGTATGTGAGTCAGATTGTTTGCCAGTATTTTATTCTGCATCACTATTATTATATACGTATAGTTACACGGGTCAGGACATAAGTTATATAATTGCTATTGGATTTTAAAAGGGAACTTTCATCTTTGAAGAAGTAGAATTTTAGTGACCTTTCATACAATTTGCTCCTCATGAGTAAGTTCGGAGCCATCTCAAATGACTTTGCCCTAAACATATTGCTTCGAGAAAGAAAAAACCCACTTTATTATATGCATTTGCCCTATCGATATTGAGTCACTGTCTAAACGTTCCTTGGAATAGGAGCATCGAAGTTTAAAAACCCTCCCGTTTCAGTGCAAACAATTTCTTTTCTTTCCGACGTTTTTTCTTCTTCTAATTTATTATAATTTATCTCAAATCTTAGTAATTTACCATCATATTATGAATAGAAATACAGAGTTTGAACCCAGTAGGATCCATGCTTGAACCTTCGGTGGACGGGGGCATACAACAAAACGTCGGATTGCGCATGTGGATGCTGGATAGGCGGGATCGAACCCTCAAGCGCTCAGTGGCGTGAGTGACGCCACCCACCGTAGCCATTTATTTGTTATTAAACCGGTGTTTGAAACGAAGTATCCACATTGCTTGGCCGACATCGAGAAGATTCATAACGCTATTTATACGTTCGACGGATAATTATTAGTCTATGTCTTCATACCCTGTTCTTTACAATCGGCATCGTCAATGGGTGTTGGGGCTCTTAATTATTAACTTAAAAAATCTCTGATATGAACAAAGGAAGGGGGTAGTCATAATAATTTCCAAGTTGATTTTGGTTCAAAAAGTTGCAAGGGCTTTGGGTAGAGCAGGGGCGAAAAGTGGGGGGGGGGGTGACAAGAAAGGGCACTTTTTTGTTGTCGAAAAAAATGGGCACCTTCCTAATATTGGTAACATCAAAGCAATACCATAAGATTTTATCTTAAGTTTTAAGTCATATATTAATGGTAAAACTACAGAGTTGATCCAAGAAAAAAAAACGTCGGAAATAATAATTTAGAGACATTGGTATACAGTCTTACAATGTTAATTTTAATCAATATGGCTTGTAATCAAGTACAATCTTCAACATTATATTGTTTCTCTTTACGTGGTTCAAGATATGGCCTACTACTTCAGCATTATACTTTGCAGTTGTATATCATGTTACCGTCTGTAAATTTATACGTGAGCGAATGAAGCGGGCGAGCAAAAATTCCAAAGACTATTATACGTAGCCTACACTGGTCAGGACATAATCAAGTTATATAATTCCTATTATATTTTAAATGGGAGCTTTCATCCAAGCTCATTTTGAAGTCGTAGAATTTTAGTTACCCTTTCAAACAATGTGCTCCTCACGAGTAAGTTTGGAGCCACTTAACGGTGTCCAAACACTATCTAAAAGCTCCTCGGAATAGGAGCACCGACGTTTTAATAACCCTACCATGGATGAGCATGCACGAGACAATACAAATTATCTTGTTAACCGACAGACATACCGATTCCCTATAGCCTAGGCCCTCTCATTATTAATAATACGGAACATCTCAAATGAATTTGCCCTAAACATAGCGTTTTGAGGAAGAAAAATGAACCAACTTCATAATTATATGCATTCATTCTATCAATAATATTATTAATACTTATGAGTAAATTATGAGGCAATTATGACTGATAAATTATGTCAAAACACTATCTAAAAGTTCCTTGGAATAGGGGCATCGAAGTTTAAAGACTTTCTCAATTCAGTGCAAACATTTTTCTTTATTTGTCTTTTTTTTTTCTTCAACTTTATTACGATTTATCTTAAATCTTAGGAGTATTAATTTTATTACCAATCATAATGGGAAGAAATCCAGAGTTGATCCAAGAAATTAACAAGACAAATTGAACGAAACGGATGGAATTATTTGTGACATACCACAATGAAAACAAAAAACCTAAAATGGCAATTGACGACGATAATAATACTGTCACATATATTGCGGGAGCAAAGCTAAAAACCTATGATTTCTGTAATTGACTTCTGTGACCTATGATTTATCTAACGATGTTGTCTTCCTATGGTGATAAATACTATCACCAAGTTTGAAGTTCATATCTTAGGTGGTTCTTGAGATATGGCAACAACACGAAAGCGGGACGGACGGACGGATAACCCGAAAACATAATGCTTCCGACGGACACCTACCTGTGGGATGTGGGCGGTGGGCGAAGGCAAAACAAAAAACGTCGGATGGCGCATGTGGATGCTGGATAGGCGGAATCGATCTCTCGCGAGAGAGATGATCCCCGCCCTAACCGTAATAATCAATCTTTTGAGTTATAAACGAAGTATCCACATTGCTAGGCCGACGTCAGAGGGGGTTATAAGGGATATTATACTTTCGACGCATTAGTCTATGAATTCATACCTTGTTGTTTACAACCAGAGGCATCGTCAACGGGTGGTGGTGCACAATAATGAATAAAATCTCTGGTATGAGCAAAACAAAGGGGGGTAGACGTAAACATTTCCAGGGGCATTTTGGTTCAAAAACTTGCAAGGGCTTTGGGAAGAACAGGGACGAAAAAGTGTGGGGCGATTTGGCACCTACAATTACAAAGGGAAACCTCAAGGGAAAACTTTTAAAAAATTATGAATAATGACCCTTTTTTTGAGAAATTTGCTTTTCTGATTTTTCTTTTTTTGTTTATAATAGACAATTACTATTATAAACAAAAAAAAAGAAAAATCAGAAAAGCAAATTTCTCAAAAAAGGGTCATTATTCATAATTTTTTAAAGGGTCATTAGTCGTAAGGTCTCTATTCATAATATTAGAAGAGGGTCGCTATTCATAATTCAAAATCGGTGTCGTTGTCCATAGGGGTCGCTATTCATATAAATAAATAGCTTTCCTTATGAATAACGGTCCTCATGCCTTTATGAACCTTTGCGTCTATGAATAGTGCTCTTCATGTGCAGGAATTTAAAGGTTATGAATAGCGGTACTTATGAATAGCGAGGTTACCCCTTTTTTAACATGAATGACTTTGGTTCAATTGCTTTGCAATTGCTTTTGGTTTTAAAACTCCTCCATTGTCTAAACTTGTATATTGATAAACAAAGGGCAATGCACTATCGTAGCATTCGTGGTATAGAAGGGGCTAAATATGTACTAAATATTTGTCTCAGTCCCAGTTCTTTGGAAACAAATTCAGTTGTTTAGGCCAACTAAGAAAAATAAATCCATAATTAATACGCGGCTCGATAATCCTAAAGCTCAATATATAAAATATAATTACAGTGTATCATGTTGTAACATTGACATGAAATGTATCACTAATTTTGTGGCACTAATTTCCATAAATATTTCTCAGTTGCTCGACAACAGTCTTTGCGACGACATACCCATGCCCACCAGAGGCGGTGGTCCGAAGGGGGAGTCAAGGGGCACAAATGCCTCCCCCATTATTTTAAGCACCTCAACAGTGCCCCTTTTACATGGGAAAAGTTACCCCTTTAACTTCAAATGAGTGCTCCTTCTTCTTTGTAATAAAACCCCTTTCCTTCTTTACAAATGCCCCTTTTCACCTCTAATAATTGCCTGTATTCAAACCCGATATGTGCCTTTTTTCCTTTAACAAGTGACCCTTTTCCCTTTTATTATAAGGGTATTTTTTAAACTCTGATGAGTGCCCCTTTTCAGGTGTTAGAAGTGTCCAATTTCACATGCGATAAGTGCCCCTTGTTACTTTTGATATGACAAGTCCCTTTTACCTAATTATATTTCCTACTGTTGCTTATAAATTGTGCCCCTTTACTGTATTAGTTTGTTTCTCATGCATGGTGAATATTGTCACACGATTGTACATCTCAGATACTTATTTATTGCCATATATTTATCTATTTACTTTTGGTCTTCCTAAATTGCTGCATGAGCCACGCATTCGGGACTTAAAGTGAAATTTAGGTCCCTTATTTCTCTGGATCAAATCTCAAGATTATAAAACCTTAATTACTCATGACGCTAAAGAAAGTAGGTCTATAACTTCCGACCACGTAAGAGAAAAAAAATAAAATCTTGAAGTTCATCACTGATAATGTAAGGGTTTTATACCAATGAAGAAAACAAAATCGCTTTGAGGTTAACCTTTGTTGGTGCCCCATTTTTTTCTCAAGAAAGTGAATTTTTTGTTTGTTCCCCTCCCCTCTTTGAAAGACGAACTGCCGCCCATCATCGATGCCAACCCTCATCATTGCAGCTGGCGCCTCGTTTCTCTGACAAAGTACTCTGATGTGCATGCCGCCCTCAGTGTTTACAGGCTATATAGTTTAGGTAAGACGATGGCGACCTCCAGCGAAGTTGTCGATTCTTCAGAAAAGGCAGTTAAAAAGACCCAAAATGAAGCGGGGCCATCGAGTCTATTTGCCATGTACACTTATCATGCTAACAGGTATCAATATTTCACACGCACTTATTGCTTCGTAATAGATTTAGACTGTTTCGGGCCGATCTAAGGCGAGCTATTTAATACATGTCCCATACGTTCATTCTAATGTTATAGTGTCTGTGCAAATTCGTCTGCTCGACATGTCATTTGATTATTATGCAGATATCATACGAGTCACATTAGACAGAAATAACCGTCTTGTATGGGGAATTCTTTAATAAAAGTGACATCTGTTAACCTTTTCGATACAAAGACGGTAACCCTTGCTGCAAGCACAAGTGGGGGGGGGGGGGGGGTCCCGGGGGGGGGGGGGGGGGGGGGTTAAGGTTAACTAGCAGATTTTCGCTGGAATCTTGCAAAAAAGTTTGCCCTCAATTTCTCTTTGACTTAATCCAGTCTAGTCTCTAATCTTGACAATTTGATTTTGTAAAAACATGCTGATTAAAAAGAGTATAAAAAAATATAATTGATAATAGTTTTAAAACATCAAAATATAAAGGCTTATTGTGATATAATCTGTCAGTTTTCTTGCAGCCATTGCATGTGATGAGATCAGTAATCACACACAAACTGCATTGCGTAGTACCCCCTCTCACTAATCCCATACAATGTTCTGCAGTCTCTGTATAGTAGAGGCAGTCAAGGGAGCCGGACGTAGTCTCATCGTCGATGCCAGAGACTGAAGCTTTCGGTCTAGAGTGACATCAGCTAAGACTAGTAGGGTCTACCTAGTCAAAATGCACATTGATAACAATTTTTACAAGAGTTCGCGATGTTGGTTCTGCAGGAAATAGGGTGTACCTGAAATGGCTAATTTTGCATTGCCTATTTGATGCTGACCTTACGATAGTAGCCATTAGACTAGTGCACTAAGGCTTGCACTTGATGTTTGCTGAATTTAGTGAAAATCCCAGCACATGCCTTTTTACACTAATTGCTATATTTGAAAACTGTCTTGGCTGATAATCTTACTCCTTTGAAACTTTAAATGACATTAATTTAGACTTCCATTCAACTAAGTGTGTGCAGCTTATTCCCTTACTCATTTCCCTAGCCTTTTTTCTGAAGAGTGCTCTCTTATTCACAGTACAATACACCTCGGCTTAAAATTCTTTTCTCAGGCTTTCATTTGAAATGTCACTGTCCCATCTGTCCGCTTATCAGTACTTACATACTCATACCAACACTAGCAACATGGCTTCTGTCATATTTTCATTCTAATTCGATTCCTTTCTTTCTCTCTGTTGCCCCCTAGACCAAATAACAACCAGGACCTCGGTCCAGATGGAGATAAAGATCCAAGGAAAACTTCAGTACCTGATTTTCTCCAGCGGGAGGCAACTTCTAACAGAGATTTCAGGTCTTTATTCAAAACTTAACATATGCACGATATATGTTTTTATTTTGATTAAGATGTTTAGTATTAGGAGATTACAATTACAATGGATTGTCCATGCTCTTTTTGTATTCTATTGATGACTCCACCCTCTCCCTTTTTTCTTGTCTATCACAGCTTCTCTTCCTCCATTTCTCTTCTTTCTCCCATCTTTGACTTTCTTCTTCTTCTTCCATTGGAGTACATCTCTCTCACAGAATACTATTGTCATACTTTCTTTCTACCTCCCTATACTATATTCTACATCATTGAATCTAGGTCATGTTAGAAGGAGTTTGTTTGTTGAAGACAATGTTCATGACTAGCTCATCATAGTCTCTTGTCAAAAACTTCATCTTCTTTTCAATCAACAATATTCATTGTCTAGCCGTTTCATGTAGTTTTTTTTTTTTTCTGGATTCATTGACTCCTGCAACATTTTGAACAATTCATTTTATTAAAACCAGCTTCTCTATGTTACAAAAAAAATCATATTCATAGATGAATCTCTGACACTCTTGATTATCTATTATGCTGTTGCTTTCATCTCCTTTGATCAGTGCTTAGATAAGGAATTTGTTCATATGAAAATAACCAAGCATTCAAAGAAGAAAAAATATCTAAAAGCTTTTCCAAAAGTTTCCTCATCATTTGCCATTCCATTCTACTTCTCTTTATCTTTGAAATTCCTAAATTGGCTGGTTACAAGTCTTTTGATGAAGAAATATGACATCAACAAATTTTAATTCTCCATATTTCTCTCATTCTCTACATTCATGCTGACTATAAAACGATTCCATACAGGCAGTTATGTTCTTGTGTACATGCTTTTCATCCGATACATGAGACCTTTTGATTTTTCAATGTTATCATGTGGATTAGTTTGTATCCCCTAATCACCTTTATGTTATTGTTCTTGTTGTATCAGTCTATCAGTGATAGCAACCGATTTAAATGCTGAGGATGAGACGGATCTGAGAGAGTTCATTGCTAGGAGGTTATCCAGAGGGACAGTCTATGGTGGAACAGGGAACGTCAACACAGTCGACATTGGGTAAGCTCAATATTTCAATTTGAAATCAGATTCTAAGAATGTACAGGTTGTTTGTCAAATTGTACTTGCTGTTTCAGATAATAACTTGTTAATTAATTACTAACACTAATTAATGTTTAAGTGAACGGAATACGGAAGAAAGATTTGTTTATTTTTAATTTATTCAATATCCAACAGCACAGTGCATTCTAATAAAAAAAAAAACCAAAATAATTAATTGTGATTATAGTAACATTCAACAAAGAAAATCAGACAAGCAAGGGAAAGTTTCAGCCAATGTTTGGGGTCCTTCTTATTTCTACACATATTTTTGTGATGACAGATAATAATGACATGTCAGTTGCTTAAACATAAATAACAATATATGTTACCAAAACTTTGCAACATCTTGTACAACAGTTGTCAGGAGATTGGTAAGCAGAAGTGATATTTTAAAATAAATGCAAACCAACCAGAAAATCTCTCTATATAAAATTTTCTGACCTTTCAGAAGTCGTGTGATGGCCTGCTACTACTGCCTGCTACGTCAGGGAGCACATCCAGGCATTGAGAGGGAGATAGAAAGTGCCATGGATTCAAACTCCTTCTACACGTCTCAAGAATGTGTCATCTGCTTTCTCAGCTCACCTACCAGTGCTCTGGAATTATATCCTTGTTAATACTTCACTTGCTTTCTTTTTGCCTATCTGCCGTCATCCATTTTCCACACGTGCAATTTTGCACAAATCAAAATGGGTTGCCTTTGCAACATGATGGAGTTAACAGTGATCATAAAATGATAGTAATTATAATGGTAGTAATGTTCAATTTATTAAGCACTTTTCCTGATGAATGCTATTGTGATAGTATTGCACACAAATGATATAGGATGTAGGAGATGATCTGAAAATAAGGAGTTTTTCTTTTGGGTTTTGGTTTTGTTTTCTTCTTCTTCTTTAAGCAGTTGACCGCCTCAAGTCTGAATGGGCTTCATACATGCCAACTGTTTAGATTAAAGAGGAACATTCCTCTTTTTGGGAGAAGATAATTATCATTTTAATGTAGGTGTTCCTCTTCCTGTACAAACTTGTCTGTAGTATTGAATAGGAGAGTTAGGATTGTTCCTCTTTTTTTTGAAAATAGCATAATTTGTACAGATTTCTGATTTTCAAATGTTGGCATGTATGGGGCTTTAGTAGATTTTAATGATGTGGGCAGCTACATAAATTCCCTGTGGAGTTTTCTGTATTGGTCTGATATGCACAAATTTCTGGACAAAATGTTCACTTTTCTTAATATAACATTCACATTCCGACCAGAATTAGATTTGATCAGCGAAGGTGTACTTCCACTTCTAGAACAAAAGGTAAGCCTCGGTTTTACTCTTTCCTACCCTTTTGTGAATTATTGCCATTAATGAGCTGTATTCAGCTCATTTAATATCTTGCCTGGTTAGAGCGAGAAGGGCGTTAACTCTGTGTAAAGGTATATGAGTTAACTCCCCTCTGGATCTCACTATACTATATTTGTGAGGTTTAAAGAACATACATTTATTTCTTATACCACAAACATTAATTTCATTTAAAATCAGTGGGAAATCTGTTGTCTCTGTAGGTCATTGACTTTTTTAATTCTGTTTTTGTAAGCAGGTAATTGTGATCATCAAGTTCAATTGTAATGTATGTTGCTGGTGAAGGTCAAAGTTTGTGCATTCTGTGTAGGATCATCTACCTGTAACTTTCTGTAACTTTTTGATGATCAAACCACTCTGTAATTTTCTTTAAAAGTTTATTTCCTTTTTCCATTTTATTGCCTTATCCATATTTGTAAGAAACATTATTGTATTCTTTGACTTTGCGTGTTTTTATGAAAGTGGTGAATATGTTCGATTCAATTCAATTCAATTCAAAGCAATTCAATTCAGTTCAAAGGTTGTAAATTTCTGAATCGAGAAAAGGTAAACTTGATGAGATAGGAAGCAAATCGATTGTAACTCAAAATATCTGTCAATGATTGCTAAAACCTTGAAACAGCAATGCCAAATCTGTGATTGTTCAAAAAGGGTTGATGAGAGGACTTAATATGTATGCATAAGATCATTGGGGTGTGACACAGACAGTGATGATAAGAGAAATAGTCTGATAAACAAGATGAGAGAAAAGGATATGAATGCCCATTTATGATACAATGTGATAACAACAAAACATTAAACTGCTTTTATTTCTTTTTCAATCTGGGACAGGGAGGCAATTCTGCTGAGATTCAGAGTCATTTAGAGCACTGGTACCAGCAAGCGTCGGGCTATGTATGTCGCTGTGTGGAGAGACTCAAAGAAGATGTGGCATACCTCATCAATGCTGTGAGTACACATCTCATTTTTCAACCATCTTCCTTTATTTACTCAGAATATTTTTTTAAATTTTTTAAATTGATGTTTCCACATTCTTTTCTCATAACATTGAATAGTGAATGAATAGTGACCAATGCAGAAGATGAATAAGAAATGATCTGTTGAAAGCCAGAAGGTTCTTAATTTGTCAATCTACTTCAAAGTATGTATGAGTTAACACCTTTCTGGATCTGAAAAGATGATTGCTATTTCATCTTTTTCATTGATTTTTTTTCTTTTCATGAAAGAACATTTTCAGCTTTACTTTCTTATCCTTCCAGATACCATTTCATGTCTCTCCTTTGCCTTCTCTCTGCTATTGCATTCTGTTTGTCAACAATTTCTATTGCTTCTGCTTCTCTCTCCCCTTTCTCCTCTCGTTGACCTCTCTCACACTGCAAACAAAATGACCATCTGGACTTTCTGGCCCTTAATCATTTCCCTCTATTATATTCCTTAATTCTCACTTGCATGATGCATCAATGTAGCTTCTACTCTCCAAGTATGCTATTCCCTGTCACACATGCAATTGATTAATAACATTTTGTTTTTGTTTTGTTCATTTTATTGGCAGGCTCTTCTTGAGATTCGTATGGAAGTAGTGGGTGCTGAGAGTTCACTGAAACAAGACATAGAAAGGTTAGTCAAAAGATCGAAATATGATCTGTCAGTACATTTCAAAATACAACAATCATGTAATCATTTGGAAAGAAGTATCTGGAGAACTTTTTTTATCAGTACTCTTCAAACTTCTGTAGTAATGTCCATCTTTTATGGATATATATTGTTGGTGCTTGGCCGTGGCATCTTGTGATATATGCAAATAGAAGCATGTGTATGACAGATGCAAAGAATCATGTCACAGTGCTGTCACAGATGCCAGATAGGCCATAATCTCTGAAGACATTTGAGATCAAGATAATTTGATAATTGCACTTGAATTGCAACCAAACATAATTGTCACCGTGTTGGTTTCAGTATACAATTTTCAGAAGACAATTCAAACAGATAAATGCAAATATATACACATGAAGAAATATATAGAAATGTACACATTTACGAGAAAGTTACAAGAATTAGAGGGGGGGGGGGGAGTAGTAGAAAAGAAACATATGCAGCAGAATATACAAGGAAATGAATTAAGAGGGTTGGTAGCAAAGGAACCTCAAGGTTCCTGTCGAGGCACCAACCAGTTACACAAAAAGTGATGTACACATGTAAACGTGGAAAGTTTAATGCAGTTGGGAAGAGGGTTATTCAAGAAACAACTGTTCATGCGTAAGTTTACATACATTGATATATATCAACATATCATCCAGGTTCATGAAAGCATGCAGCCTTTCAGACCTCTTACAGTCATCAGAAGACAGCTCATCACAGGTCCTCTCTGATCCTATCCTCATTGACATTGATGAAGCAGGCAATGCACAGACCAACGTTAGATCACCGTCCAGGGGACCATCCAAGAGCAGGCTGGTGTTTGAAGGGGATTCTTATCGTTTTGAAAACGCTGGTGAGTGCTTCAAATATCGTTTACGTTGAGCTGCTAGAATTGGTGGCAGCTACTTGCAGATTACATTCAAGTGTAAAAAAAAGTACTGATTTCAATTGAAAATACTGTATACATTAATTACAAAGATTAATGAGGTTGCCGTTACATGAGACAGTCAAGTAGAAGCACACCCTAAGTACTTCCAAGTACCAAATCATTTACCAATCAAATGAAGCAAAGAACAAAAGAATTATGCAGTATATGAGCTTTTGAGCCCTGCTTGATGCCTACAATATTACATGCTAATTACAAAGCATTGGCAGTTTGAAGTTAAGTGTTAGTAAATATATAATTGATTTGATATTTACTTTAAAAGTACTATGTCCCGTTTGCAGGCCCCAAAAATGAAAACTTTAAATTCCAACGGCATTTGAAAGATAATACTAATTTAGAACTTCCCTCAAAACCAAAGAGCTTGAAAATGTCTTTTAGTGGGAAAATAACGAGCATTAGTTGTCGAATCGACTTTAGTGATTTCAATCACTAAAGTAATAGTCTGATTTTCAGACCGTTGTACCGAATGGTTGTATGTTTTGTGCTTCACAAAGATTCAATCAGTTTAATTTTGGCTATACAGGAATTGAGTTATTGATGTAGACAAACGCTCATGTACCCTTTACAGCTCATTTGATGTATGTTATCACCAAAGCAAAAAAAAGTCAGTAAGTCACTCAATAGTTTCTGACAGTGAAGTCTAGAAAGTAAACGTAATTTGAATAATAGGACACTGCTAACGCTTAAATTTCACAGATAGGACATACGTGACATATTCATAATTCCTGCAAAACTCTACAGAATTTGATGTTGGCTGCAAAAGGGACATAGTACCTTCAAAAATCAAGAATGATGGTACGAGGAGTCAGCCTCAGAATGGTGCACTTTAATATTTCCTTTTCTCTTCCCTCTCTCTCATCCTGCAGAAAAATCTTGGTTTTGTGAGGAGTGGTCCAGCACGATGTTGAAAGGGGGCGACACCCTAAACCCAGCATTCCTCCGTCAGGTAATAGAGGACTACAAGCTACACACCATACAAGATCTCAACACACTGAAGAGACTCATCCGTCAGGCAGAGACAGACCACTACGCCCTCTACAGGTGAGACTGAGTGGAGAGAAATTGTTATTATGATTCTCTATAGTCCAATATGATAATGCTTTCATGCAGTTTATATATGAAGTATATACTGTATGAAGATTTGATGGATGACCATCAGATATCAGACATACTACAGTCAAACCTGCCTATAGCTACCGCCCAAGGGAAACACAAACAGTGGCCTTTGTAGATAGGTGGTCTTTGAAGACAGGTTCCTTTAGTACATGATTCAATGAGAAATCATTTTCAAGGGAAACAACAAATGTGGCCTTTTTAGACAGGTGGTCACTAAAGCAGGTTTGACTGGACATTGATACTACTTAAACCTTTGTTTTCTTCTACAAACAATTTAAGGTCTTTTCTGCTTTATTTTATTCAATTTAATTTCTACTGGAAAATTGAAATTCCTTGACCGAGTAAGGATTGACAGATTGAGTCTTAATTATCCCAAATATGAATTTGGTATTATATTGGTATTGGTAAATGTAAAATGTTTGCTATTTGCATTTTAATCAAATTACAAACAGCAGTGTATGCACATTCTTCCAGGTATTTGTGAAACTTTCATTGCTTCTGTTTGTGTCCTCACAGGGCGTATGCTTTCCTTCGAGACTGTGGCTGTGGGGCCATCTTATTACGTCATATCTGGAAGGATGAGAATACCATCCAAGCTAAAGACACTCAGAACGTTCTCAACGTCTTGGAAGAGTTCATCTCGGAGACCGACAGCTCAAATCTCGCTGCTTGAAAGACAGGTGGTGATGTACAAATTTATCAGTATTTATATCCTTTTAAGAATGAAAAAAAAGTACTTATGCTGTCATTTATCCTTTCAGTTCAAGCCATAGCTCATAGAGACTCAACAGTCAATTCATAAAAGTTCCAATAACTCCCTTTCACATACAATCCCTGTGGAAGGGAACAGTTCCATGGACTTGACCTATGAATCAGTGCACTTATGTCCCAACTATCTCCCTGTACTAGCTATGTTTTAAGCATCATGATCTGATAATTTTACCAATTGTTTTTACCTCTTAAGCAAAATAGAAATCTTGCTTTTTAAATTGTGTCTATGATTTATTGCCAACTTGTTGATCATGATGATTGTAAATAATTTTACAGATGTCAAATGACAATATATATCGTATGAGATAAGAATGTGTATGTTATTTTAGGTATCATTTTGATATATTACAAAATGTATGCCATGATTGGATAGTAAATATTCACTGCTGCTTTAGAAGAAGAAAAAATGACAATCAATTGACTATTAAGGCCCATTGACTAATACTCAAGTCCTTAAGGTGTACAACTACTTTACCTTCCAATCCATAAATATCTCCTATCTTATTTTTCATAGACCAATTCATCATTGAATTCAAATTGTGTGAATATTCTGTTTATCTTCTCTAAATTAATATCTATTTATAGGCTTTCCTGACATAGTAGATAATGATATACGATTTCTCTTGATCCACTTCAGGTGAAATTATTAGACAAGTATTAAAAATGAGTGTATTGTTTCAGATTTTGGAATGAATTGGAAAAGGCTTGTTGATTTACGAGATATAATCTTGCCACGCATCTTGAATGTTATGGTCAAACAATAGATGATGTATTTTGACATTAGTACATGTATCACACGTTCTTGACCGACAGTTTCACTTCTACGTCTTGGATCTTTAAGATTCACTTATTTTACTGAATAAAGTTTTTATTAATGTCTATAAGTGGGAGGAAACTCACCTACTGGTATCGCTGATATCTTAATGACATATAGTCATGTCTAAATAACATTTATTTAGTGAAATGTGTTGTATTAACCTTTGTTGATTGTTTAAAAGATTTGCTCATGCCAAATGCTTCTTTGGTTTAAGAACGAGATTGACACATTCGATGTTAGTCATACTGCAAGCCACTTTCCACTGGTATATACATGTAGGGTACCCTGCAGAAGGCAAATAATATAAGTGTTGACATTACATATGGAGAAAAAAAATCCCTGCTTAGAATTGGGGATAAATGAAGTTTGTTGTTGTTGATTTATACTAGTACTTATTGGTATTTTAGGTATTGAATCAATTGGGAAATGATAAAAATACACAAAAAATGTTTGTGTAAATTTGTTATTTGAATTATGCCAGAAGTATGTAACATAAGGGTACATAAATGTAAAAGATATATTTAATATTTTCTTTTGGAAAATTAAAAAAAAAGAAGATTATTCCATCAAAACAAGAATTCACAGCACTGGACCATCAATACATGTTGTCATGTATCTCGTTTTGTTTAAGAAAAAAAATCTTGTTAACGACTTAGTAACAAGAACTTCTTTTGATGTCTGTATTAAAGTTACCAGTCTTGTTATCTATTGTAAATACATAGACCATAAACAAAATGTGCAATTTGCCTCATGAATTAAAGGATTTAACATCGTTATATTCTGTTCTTATATTTTAAATGTTATTAAAATCAATATTATCATTTGAAAGCAACCCAAATTATGTATGGTTTTGTTTTGGAAGTACTGTAACAGTTTTCTTATGTTTTTTCCTTGTAATGTATGATATGGTGTGCAATGTAATGTAGCAGTTTACAGATGTTTCTTGCGCAGGTTTTACAGGGAAACTTGCAAATATAATTAATGAAGACATTGAATTTCTAGTAGTTTTGCATTTGTGCAATCAGTTACAATTTACATTACAATACATTTCTATATCTACCCATCAAAAAATTAAAACGGGAATATTTGTAGACAAATCGTGCATCTATAGGGGGCAGTATAATATGCTCTAAAGATATGTACATTTCTCCTTTTGAAACATTTTCAAATAGATAAATGGTCATTATTATGAACCAGGGAATCTGTACATTGATATATATGGCTGACGAAATATATGAATAAATATTGAAATCCAGAATGCACAAAAAAACAAATGACAGAAGGATGATTTAAGTTATAAAACACATTTATTTAGAACAAATATACACATGTACATTTCATATTGAGTACAATATAATGTGATACAATTTCAATCTGTACAGGGTTACAAATATAAGGCTGTACAATGACAAAGGCACAGCTCTCAAACTAGAACTCCAAAATATTCTTTGTGGATTTTTATTTACAATATAGGGAAAAATATTAAGTCACTGCATATCTTTTTTTTTCTAATATTTTATATTTTGTAAGTCTCCACAATTTTGAATGTTGGCTTACTGTCAACATATATTTCTATGATAATTTGTAATATTCTGATGAATCTAAAATATTTATCTCTATTTTTGCTTTTTTGGGGAAACCAAAGACTGACCACTGAAATTTCCCTTTGAAAGAAAAAAAAACACATCAATCCTAGACCCATACAATGATTCATGAGATTGCTGTGTTTTGTTTTCCCCAATTTCCAAAAATAATTTGGGAAAGTGAGTTTGTTTAGGATGTTTTCATAAAAATTGTGTTAAGTTTACTGTCTTGAAAATGTTCAAAATGTTTTAAAAAGACAAATTAGCTAGTGGATTTGGTGCATTTCACCTGGAAAGGAGTTTCATATACCACATATCCCTGCATTACTTTTTTATGTCAAATATGTAAAATTATACGAAGAATTGAAATCACTATAGATAAATGCACTGAAAATAAATATTGAGGAAAACACTGCCGTTCATCTGTTTTAACATTAAATAATCGTGCCAAGCGTAAAACCTAATGTATTTCTTTGACAAGACCCTGAAATGCAATTTAACAATGATGATTTTTACAAAAATGTAACTTTCAACTTTTAGCAGATAAAATTATTAACTTTTTACCCTTCTGAAAAGTAAATAATGATGATTGTGCTGAAAGTTTGAGATGAAACCACACAACACATGCATATTCACCACATAAACTTGGAAAATACAGGTTTCCAAAACAAAGTTGAAATCCCTGCTTCTTAGACAACCTCGCAAGAAATTCAATACAAAATTAATAGGTGTAAAATCCTATGATAGAATACAATTAGTCTTACCGAGATCAAATGAGGCAAATTATTTTGACCAAAATCTATCCACCTCGTTCCAATGTAGAACAAAGCATGGCTGCATCGATAGCAATCGACTCAAAATCCCCTTGAAGCAAAGGAGGCAACAGGGCATGGATATTGTATAGATTTGTAAAACATGGACGGCTACACAGCAACATAACTGATGACAAATAGGTACATGTACAATGGAATAGAGTTTAAGATATCAAAGCACAATTTCTAGATTGTAAGTTGGGATAATATGGATAAATTTGTAAGAAAATAACCAAGTATTTCTATAAGTCTATCATTACCTCCTGTCTTTTTAAATTTTGAAAATAATCCATCCATTGCTTTCTCTTCGTTTGTTACCAGACTTTACAGAATGTGGGCCCTGTAACATAAAAGTTAAAATCAATTATAGCTATTTCAAATTAATCACATCTCGTTCAAACAATTATATCTGTGCAACAAATAGTAACGACTTACAGATAGATACAATGCATGTTAAGATATGATTAATTGCAGCAAGGCTAGAGCTACTATAGATCTATGCAATTGATTTTTACGTTACTAGGCCTCGATTACATTAGTTATCCAACACCGGTACGTCTGCCTTTTGATATTAAGTCATAACTGTTTCTTGACGTAACAAAGTAGGAATCAGAATAAACAGTAGCAGAGACAGCTGCAGCTCGGGATGTTGAACACTTTACCAAAAAGATGTTGGTAGTCTCCATGTCACGCATTGACAGAGTCAGGAAATCTGTGGGGGTAATAAAAGAAAACATGAATGTAATTGGAAAGGAAAAAAATGTATGACAATGAAGAGAGGGTCTACGTGCAAGCAAGTTTATAGAAGGGGTGTTTCTCTCGGCACTGTTATGTCCGAAACATGGGATGGAATATAGTATAGATTTACTGTACTTAAGAAAAAAGCCCTGCACTGTATCCTTGCCTTCAATTTCATATTATGGACATAGATTTAAATCCTCTGAATACATTTAGTGTAGCCTATTACCTCTGATTTCCATTTAGTTGTCCTCTTTCTCTCCATTTTCGGTGTCCTTCTTTTCACTCCCATTCTGCAAAAAAAGAAGACAGAAAATATATTCAGTCATATGCTTATCCTTATTTCAATTATCGACACCATAATTCATCATCATTTTCTCAAAATTCCAGTAGTACGTATATATATCCTGGCCCTTTCATCCTCATACTTTTTACCATCATCCTCATCATCATCACTTCATCAATCATAATCATCATTATTGTCATTATCATCATCATCATAACCACCATCACCATCGCCGTCGTCATCATCATCATCATCATCATCATCATCATCATCATCATCATCATCATCATCATCATCATCATCATCATCATCATCATTTTCATCATCATCATCATCATCTTCATCATCATCCTCCATTTCCACTAGCTCCAGTACAACCATCACCTCATCCTCTGCCTCTTCAATGATCTTGTTATCTTGCTCCGAAAGCTTGGCCTGTTGAGCAGCAAACTTCTTCTTGTCCGCCTGTACGATGGTGAAGAACTCCTTCTCTGCCTCTGCCACCAGATCTTCCTCTTCATCCTGTGCTGCTTCTCCATCATCCTATTAACACAAAGAGAGCAGTTTTGGTTAAATTGAAAAATTGGGAATCACAGTAAGGACACACCTGGACCCATTTCACAAAACATGTCATCAGTGACGAATGACAGATTTTTTTTATAAGCTAGTGAAATCCTCGCTTCTGATTGGTTATCGGCACATTTGTCACTGATTTTGTCATTTGTCATTGAAAAAAAGTTTTGTGAAACATTGGATTTTCTAATTTGCAGGGTGATAGTGAGCACTAAAATAATAAAAATAAATTTAATTGGGATGAAGAAGAAAACAAATCTGGATTTTTTTTTAAAAATCGGGACACTGATTTAAATTGGATATTATCAGGCCTGACATACCTCATTGCCTCCTTGAGCACTGGCTCCTTGTCTCTTTAGCTTGAGCTCCCTCTGCCTCGACTCCAGGATCTTTTCCCTCTTAGTCTCCCTCTCAAACATGGCGGTGACCAGAGCCTTCTCGTTGCGCTGCATGGTACAGAGCCCGCTGGAGAGCTCCAGGAGGGTGGTGGTTCCGCTGTTAGAACCGGTAGCAATCAGGCGACCCTGGTCCTGCACTCGAAGGCTGTGTAGAGCATCATCACTGACCTGTTATAGGGATGAGCAATGGATAGAGTACATAGATGAAGGCAACCATGACAGTGAATTAAAAAGCAAGAACAAATTAATTGAGCATGTGTCTTTTCCAAGATATGAAAATATTTTTAACTCTTTGTTTTCAGCATAAATAATCTTGACTTTCTTTCTTAGAACAGAAAACATTGCTATGTTGTCTAGAATCAAAATGTTGTCTAGTTTTCAGCACAATTTTGATTTTCTTTTGTAGAATAAAATATAATACATTGCTGGGATGTAAAATTATTTTTTGCAGATTCATAGCAAAAAGTATATGAATATGAATTTAAAAAATATAATTTGTCAGAAATGCAAAGGACTCATTCCTGAGCAACAATATGGACATGCCTAAGAAATCTCTGCTTTGGGAATTCCTTTTCTTAACTCTGCACTTCAAATTAGGGATAGCGTCATCAAAACTTCTGCACAATAGCTTCATGATAGCTTACGTAACAAACTTATACTCAAAATATGAAGTCTTGTACATTGATTTGAAAGGAGCTTACCTGCAGACTCAGAGTCGGGTCCTTCTGCTTGAAGAGATAATCCCATACGTCAAGGGAGCCGTCCATCTTGGTTGTGAAGAACACGGCTGGTCTGACTGGACTCCAACAACCATCGGTAAGATATGACATGTGGTACCTAGAAGTAGAAATAAAAGAATGGGGTTACAATGATTCAATTATTGATACCATAAAGAATCAGAAATTGTTAGGATGTATTTGTGGTAAACATCAGGAAATACCACCAGAAGTGATGTACGATAGACACATTGCTTTTATTGTATTCTTTTCTTCTCCTTCTTTTAATCTTCAAAAAAGCTATGCAGCCTATTGCACAGATCTGTAGAAGGATTACCAGTACTGTATGCAAGCACAATAAACACAGAGTTTACACCCTACTCTTTGCAAGAAGTGTAGCCTGTTAGAAGAGCTCAACTTAGTAATAGGTGCCTAGGACACATGGACGCCCCAAATATATGTCCAGAAACCCCCCCGCCACCCCCCAATCTCGACATTTTTACAAAGGGCTCATGTTTATAAATTGTAAAATGTTAAAACTAGTCCATCTTCCAAAAAAACTTAGTGTGGAGACCTGGTATTCGGAAAAAAATTGTTAACGCCCAACTACCAGGCACACAATGATATATAGGATAGAAACAATATGCACTTTCTATAAATCTAACAAGTGCTCCTCTGCTTCATGTTTTAAACCCCCCTGAAGGAAGACTGATAGTGTTTGAAATAACTTACTTGGTCCACATAATTGATGAGTCCCTGATATCTTCTGACCAGATCTGCAAAGAAATCATTAAAGATAGAATTATTGCAAATAGAATCAGTATGAAATAATATCCTCTATTGAAGTATAAACAGAAAAACCATGCTTTTTGCTACAAATTCAATTTTAAAACAGAAGTAATGAACACATCTCCAGTTCTTTTTAAATCCAAATTATAAAAGGGTATACCTATTTGACTTTGAAGATTAGATTTTTTCTCTCCATAGGTCCTTACTCATCTAAAGTCACTACTTAACTGTATCCTAATCAGTACTTGTCGTACAAAAAAAGGTAATTATTTTACAAATGATATTTACATGGATGATTTGTATATGTGCAATGTCAACCAATTGGCAATTGGTAGTTGTATGCATTTATACTGTTTAAAAAGTGCACTCACCCTAGCCGTCCAGTCACCAACAGTCAAGAAGTTCTTGGGGAAGAAGGGATTCCTCTGGAGTGCATACACCGGACCGATGTGCTCCTTGTAGATGGCTACTATCTTCTCTGGAGGTGTCTTGGCTTTGCGGTTGCAGGAGATGATCGTACCCTGCTCTGTACCCACCATAAATTTGGTTGGCTGGAGGATGTTAAGAGAAACAACAACGTTTAAATAAGAATGCGCTCAAACATGATGCGAGGATTGACACTAACAGAGGCCTGGAACACACACACATGGAGGCGCGATAGCTCAGTCGGTAGAGCAGTGGTCTTGTAATCCGGAAAACAAAGGTGATGCGCTAGTGCCCTTTGGTAAGGCATTAATCCTCATTACCAGGTCTCTCAGAGAGGACCTAAAGCCATCGGCCGTCTGGTTGCTTAATTACAAGCATTTATGCTTTCTTAGCAGTCAGGTAAAATAACCACCACCATTCATACATGTAGGCATCGAAACTCCATGGCCAGTCCATCACAATTTTGGATTTGAACATGGGGTTTGTGCATACAAATCTAAAAATTTAAATCTAGACCCCTCCCCCCCCCAAAAAAAAAAAAAAAAAAAAAAAATTGAAGCCCTCCATCCTATTTTGTTTTCTGCATCATGTATAGAGGCAACAGTTAGATGAAACATTCTATTATCTTGACACTCATCGATGTTTGGCATTAAAACGGGAAGCAGAAAACAATGCAACCACACAGAAAACAAAGATAAGAGGCCATCATAACAAGATAGATTAAATAAGTGAAGTCAGTCACTCACAATGGTAGGTTCATATTCTAATGAGATGACCCCTTGTGCGTTCTCCATCTTGCCCTTCTTGGAGGGGTCCATGATGAGTTTTTCTGTCGGTTCTCCAAGCTTTCTCATATCCCACCAGAGAACCTGCAAATTGACAAAGACAAAATCATTGCAAAAATGATTCAAAGATAAACGATATTCAGATATAAAAAGTAGTTTTCTGTTAACTACAATGAGATAATTAAAATTGCTTTCATCAAAAATATTGTTAATAAAACCGCTTATCATTACTATCAAGACATTACCCATGAATAAGTTGTTCATGGGAATAATTACAAAGCAAAGCAAATGTTAAAATCCCATACCATATGAAATTCAATGTACATTGCATAATATAGATTTTTTTTCTCCAGATTTTCAAAGCTTGACATCTATATTTCTTAGGCTAGTGGATCTTTGATTTTTTCATTTGATTTTTAACTTAAAGATATTTCATATTGGAATTGCTTGAATTAGATTTATGGATAAGGTTTGCGTTGAAATAAAAACCTTAAGTGAGCTGCAATTTAATAACTTAGCAGCATAACAAGAGCGATTTTGAAACAACATGCTCATTTATAAATCCTCTATGTAGTTATAGCTTACTTGTCCATCTGTTGAGGCCGAGAAGCATTCTGTTCCTGTCTTGGATTGAAGCCAGATGGTCTTATAGACTGGATCATGATGACTGTGTTCTACCGGTGACATCTCAACGGCTTGGGAACCTTTTCTCGTGTCCCAGAATGCTACACAACAAAGTGGAAAGAGAATATTATTATCATTTAATTCATTTATTTCAGTTCTGAATACATAATAAAATCAGTATACATTAAATTAAAACATGGAGAAATATGAACTTATTTTAAACAAAACTGACCAGGGACTCCAAGATGAGTGAGCCCTGCCAATTAATTACAAGCAAAATATAAAATACCCATGCTATTCTTGTTTTTTCTGTCATCCAGTCGACATCCAAATTAATTTTGACAAAAGTTGTTGGAAGAATACTTTAGTAAAGCAATATACATATGGTGACTGGGCTGGAATCTTAAATCTCAAAACCTTTTAACTACAGGCCAATATTTGGTTTTAAAAAAATATTTTGTGCTTTTTCAAAGTTATATCAAGCAGTCAGTATGCTAAGGACAAAAAGAAGAACAAAATTGAATTCTAGACACTGAAGAGGATGATTTCACCCTGGGATTTGGGTAAAGGGCAGCATATATTTCCCATTTTGTCTTCTCCACACTCTACAAAGCTAATTCAGAGTCATATATCATATCAATTTTCATGAGATAGAGTCATGAAACTACTTTCCTACAAGCTGGCATCTGGAATGACTATGAATACCAGGCCCGATAAAAACTGTTTTTCATTTAACCAATTCTGCCATTATTAAGTTCCTAGCTAACTCACCAACTTGCCCATTGTAGCAACCACCTATGAGAATATGGACATCTTTAGGATTGTATTCTAGGCAGACTAAGGGTGACACTGGCTTCAGCACAAACTCTGGCTTGTTGGGGTTCTCTGTGAAAAAGATAACAAAAAGGTTAAGACGTTTTAGTTTTATAGGCAAACCACAATAAAGTATGAATGCAAGGGCAATAATTGGAAGTTCATTCTTATGAGATCTTGATTTGAAAGTTTATCAATTCATCTACTATCATCAAACAGTTAACGAAAATGAATTTGTAGTACACTTACAATATTGTAATGTGTCAAGAAAACATATGCACAGTGACTTAAAACAGAATATGAATGAGAATGGATGCTACAAAATGAGATCAGATCTAGAAGGACTACAGTCATTGTACTTAAACTAATTTAAATATCTGTTTATTTTTCAAATATTGATTAAAATATATCTCAGTATTCACAACTTGTGATTACAAATTATAATCTTCTCTAAAAATATAAAACATCCCATGAAAATGAATGTCAATGTTTGACTGCTTCTTACCTATGTCCCAGATATATGAATCCATGCTGGTTTCTGCGGATGACTTCTGGAACTCCAGACTTGAGTATGCTACAGCAAGTTTCTTTGGCCCATCAGGGTACCATGACAAGTGAGTGGCTGGTCTCTTGATCTCATTAGGATCTCTGTCAGAAGAAAATAGGATCAGATTTTGGTATGAAAAATCCTAATAACATGGTTGTCAAAAATTGGATATAATCAATGCACAAACACTTACCGGTATATCACTTATCTTGGAATAGAATGTCTATATTATGGTTTGCTTAATACAGTGAATTCCTCAAGTTAATCAATGAGTGCTGAATTTTCCAATATTATGCAAAATTTCCCAATTTATCCAAGTTGAGGTTTCATATTTTTGTCTTACAATGGAATAAAGACTTTCATCATGAATATAGTCATCCCTTCTAGGTGGCTTCATAAAATAATTACATTATGAGCAACAATGTCTACTCATAATTAACCAAAAAACATTAATAAAGCATTTTGACCCCTAACACTATCCCTAACCATGTATCTTGCCTTTGACAAAGTAATTCTGTGTGCAAATGTCACTGGAGCAGACATCCAACCACCTTAAAACCAACCTCAGATAGAGTATTAAATCTGTAATTATCTTTAGTGGACTTGACGCACAATCAAAGGACTTGTTTACCTGAAGACATTGATGGTTTTAGCTGACGGTGTTTCCTCTACCTCCTCTATCTCTAGGTCCGCAAAGTAGTCTTCATAGATGTCAATTGCATTGTTTTGTTTGATTGTGTGTTCCATGAACTGCAGAAGATAACAAATCAAATAATTTAATTTCTCCTCATTTAATGGCACAATTTAAAAACAAAACATTTACAATGAATAATTTGAAGCCTTATACTTTTCATCTGACAAAGTTTATGTTTTTTCATCTTACCATCTTTTTCTGAAGTTCTAATATATTGACATTCAAGTACCAACTATTTATGTGTTTATGGTTATATGAAGACCTATTATATTATCATAATATATTTTTGTGAATATTTATAACAGTAATGTAAACTAAACATCGACCTAAAAGAACAGAGGTAGGAATACAAGGCCTATATTTTTATTACACAATGTATCAAGAAAGAATTTGATTAAGTACATTAAAGTCATGTGCAGAAATGGTGTAACATTGCAAACCAGAACTTTAAAGTGATACCAAAATATTAAACAAAGAGGGAAGGTGTATCAAAAATAAATCAAGTTACACTATGATTATAATAATTTGATACATACACTGGACAGGTTCTGGATGGTTGTGACGTAAGACTCGTCTTTCTCCACTTTTTTCCTGAACCTCAGGACCTGCTCCACCTCCTGTGGGTTAATGTCTTTGGGCCAGCCTCCTTCCGCATGGTTGATACCTCTACTGTCCGTCTCAAACCGCTCTGTGTTTATCTGGAAAAAGAATGGATGAGAAAAAATGAATTATACTTGATAATATTAACAGTGCATATTCTACTGTGAATAGAAATTATGGAAATAGATGCATATTAATGAGGAAAGTTATAACTTGAATTGTACTTCATACAAAAAATATTTGAAAAAAATAAAGTGGAATCTAGAGAAGAAAAAAAGATTTGAACATGCATCATGCTCATTTTTTGCAGCACATGTAGTTATTGCATCAACCATCAATAGCTTTAAGACCAAGTTGGACAAGTTTTGATCTATTTTACACTATGTTCAACCATGGGAATAGTGACTAATTCCACTCCATTAGTACATCACCCAAAGCACATTGCATGAACTCAAATTAACATCTCTACAGAGGGATAGAAAGAAGATTAAAGATAGATCTGGAAACTCAAATGCAGAACTGACTGCATTTTTCCACTAGAATCAGGTAATTAATAAAGGTAATTATAACTCACCTCGTGTTCTGACATTTCTTGCACACATTGTATCCCTCTGTCTACCGGGTTCTTTTCAATGAAATTTGATAGAAGGCTCTCATCTGGAAGGATATCAACGTGGAGCTCTGCAGGACGATCAGAGAAGTTACACTGTCGCCCAAACTCATTCCTCTTCTTCGTGTACACGTACACGATCTCCATGGTGATTGACGATCTATTCTACTCCTGTATCAGAGGATAAAAATTAGAAGGCATCACAAGACAAAACTCCTGACTTATCTGAACAAAGACAATGTTTGAACTCATCCCAGTAGGCCCTATAGCTTCCTGCGTGAGCTGCCAAAGGGATTACCCAACCAAGTAAGACAATCTCAATGAGAATGACGATTACCATTTTGTTCAACACAAGTTCTTGCCTATAATTCGTCTAGTCTTAGACATACTTTAGTCTGGTTATGCATGCTGTCCCAACTGCACTTCAGATAGCAATCAAAGTGATAACAAACTACCTAACAGTTAGCTCTCCTCTCTCTTTTGATCTGTAATCTCGGCTAGCCTACCACACAACCGTGCCCCCGGGAGCGGAGCGGGTCAACGACAACGCAGCTGCAGATATTGCTGCAAGTGCAATGCTGCGGGTCCGTCAACAATAACGGAACATTAGCTCTCGATTACAAGACAACACCAAATTTACTGCACATTAAAATCATAATAGAATGATACTTTATTCAGTGAATATCAGTTCTTGAATAGGCATTTATCAATATAACACTTTAAAAGATAAGATATAAGCCTTTACCTGATATCATTCAATTTGACAGCATCACTTCACATTAGCTAGCTGTTGCCAAGATACTTCGATCAGACATTGTGCGCATGCGCCGTTAATTTCTTTTTTAGTTGATTAATTATTTATCTTATTTCCATTATTATAAGTGTATGTATGTAGTTTTAAAAAGAATTGGCAGTTTAATTTTTTTTAATTATACAATAAAATTATTAAAAAATTACATAAAGAACAAAAATATATATTTGAAAAAAATCAGTACGATTGGCAAACTAAAGATGGCCGCGCCCATTGATGGAAAATCCGTTCGTTTCCTCCTGATCAAGGAAAGGTATCGAGTCATTTTACCCGCAATATGCGTACATTTTAAAGTAAATTATATTAACAATCGATTTATATGTATACGACTTCAGTTTTTAATAATTAGCAGACGCTATTTGATAACCATCAGCTGGCAGCTGAGTGAGCTGACCTCTACCATTAATTGTTATCAGTCCCACATATTGATTGTTGTGTGTGTTCTGTATGCTTTCTGATTACTTTTCAGGTGCGCGAATGGACACGGCCCGGCCCGGCCCGGGTAACTTTCAAGCGTAGGCTTATAACGGTATTATTAGTACTTGGCTTAGACCTTGGTTCAATAGATCTGACCGGTTAGGTATGGGACTATGGACGGTACACCTTGCCGCTTGCTGTAAATCATATGCTCTGGCCTGGACCTGGCTGGGTTCATAAAAACATGAACCGATCTAAACTTGCATTTTAATTCATAAACATCAGTAGGGGCGCTGGTCTGAGAATGAGGATCGTCCAGATAAACGAGGATATCCTTGTAAACGCGCACAAACCGTGTCCTAAAAAATAAGGATCGTCCACATTTTTTGCGGAGGTTTTTTTTCATTGCCATTGGCACTCTGCATGTTTCGGGTTCCCGAAATTGTGCGCTGGCGATGCATAAAAACGGATTCCGCGTAAGAAAATAACCCCAGTTCACTGTCTACTTTTATGGGCTGTCCGTCAAACCGAGGATTTATCGCTCATAACATGAAAGTCCGTGTACAAAGTCAACGTAAAATGCATCAATTAAGTCATCGCGCAATCCATTTTTCGCATCAACAACGCGCGGATAGGTATATAAAACGTCTGCGAAAATGTGGACGATCCTTATTTTTGTGAACGCATCTGTTTGCGTTAACGAAGACAATCCTCGTTCATGCGGATGATCCTTATTCTCGGACCAGCGCCCCTACTCAACACGGTAAACTAAAGCATTCCACAGGCATCGGATATTTAGCCCTTTTTGTGTTAAAAATATCCCACAATATTAAGGTGAATATTAAAATTAAAGATCTGGGGTTCGTTTCTCGAAACTGTCATAACTACAAGTACAAAATCAACGACACATTGTCGCTCAACTTGTCCGCTAACGCGCTAAATGTTTCACAAAACCGTCTTTGCCAAGATGACCGACAACTTCCGCCACAATTCCTTGTCACGACTTTAAACCTGTCATATCTAATTAGAACGCCATGTCAAGGCAACTTTAAGACAGTCTATGGGCAGCAAAAAAATTGAAACTGAAATTTCAATTATAAACTTAATATAAAATTAAAAGCTTATAAAAACATACAAACTGTTCTTATAAAGTTTTAATGTATTAACAAGTTAATTAACGATACAAATATCATTTGTGCATACATTGGTCTACCAAAGAGACTCACCGAAGATAGAACAGTCTGTAATTACAGACCCATGAGAATGGCGACAATTTTTGTGAAGGTATTTCTCTAGATGTTTTCCTTTTTCAAGCCTAATTTTGATACAATTCATATCACATAAATATTGTATAAATAAATTTTAAAACTATGAGTCTAAAATATAATTATCTTCTTAACTTGAAAGAAAAACAGGGTCTTCTTTCGATTGGTTGTGAGTTATGGTATCCTCTTACTTGCAAGTTTGCATTCGCTCATCGTCGAAGCAACCTTGATGTTCATAGATTCGTACATATCATTAGTTTGTATCATTTTTGCTACCACTAATATATTTTTTTGGTTTTTCAACCAGTTTGAGTGAAATTAAGTCACATAATCTAATTTTGTAATGAAGGATAAAATCTGATGGATCGTGGCAAAGACTATATATTTTTAGCCAATAGTATCAAAATAATTAATTTGTCGCTGATCATGGTTTTATGAAACAGTTTATCCACTTCCTGACATCTCCGTAGGTCGCCGACAAAGATATGACTGTCATGGAGTTAGTGTCATGAAACGACCCTCTTATGAATTTTCTAATTTACGAAAATATGATATATCAACCTGAAAAATGAAGAAGAAAACTCAAATCTTCAAAGCGATGCATGATTTACACGATTTATAAAGAACGAAATTGCTGATCCAGCTACATCTACAGCACTAGCCAGAAGCAACAATGTTATGATATTGCTGAGACTTCAGAGAGGACAAAATAGAAATTAAAAATTGAAGTACATCTAGCAAGGCAGGGAGCAGATGGTAGACTGTTAACATGCTGTTTATTATATTTCTATTTTGTAATCTTAATAGTACTGTCGCTTCCAGCTAGCGTGAAAGCTGGATCAGTAATTTCTTTGCACGGTTTCAAAGAATTTGAGTTTTCTTCTCCTCAAAATTTCAAGATTGATATGAAAAATCTATCGTTGCATTTATATTTATTGTACGTTGTTCATTTCTGAATATTGTATTGGAGCACTTTTATTATTAAGTTAAATTATTGTTTTTATTACAAAATTTACAACAATATCTATCTTAAACCTTAGGCTGTGGTCTTTTAATGTAAGCATCTAAATTCTGACACTGAGAAGACTATCACCTGTAATTGTTAACCCTAGACTCTGATCTTTTCAGCTTAAATGTCTAAAATCCCTTTAGGATTATAAATGCACTTTGAAATAATCTAATTCTAGGTGTAACATCAAAGCCATCATGTTATAATTCATCCCATGTAAACATTTTTGATTATATAATGCAGAGGATTATCAAAGAAGGAGCTTGAAGCAGTGTACAATGAAGCTCACCAGTGTCTTGTGTCAGGGGCCCCACCCATCCAGTGTGTACACAGTCTGAGGAAGCTTCTCTTGGCAATCTCTTGCACCAAACTACACAGAGAGTAAGCAACCTTTATTTTCTTCTTTTTTTTCCTTCTTAATGCATAGCTTGATAGCTGTCTTGTCAACCACTTGTATTTTGGAGGGATGATGATTCCTATTTAATCATATTTTGGCTTTCATACTAATGATATGAATACTATATTCCTCTCTTTTTCTGAAAAGTTCTGGGTAAGAAGTAAACTGTAAAAGTAAAAATATTTGATGTACATTAATTTTTCGCGGATTTTGCGCTAAGATTGGTGGGCGCAAATTTTAGAACTCATAAAAAATATAAGCATGATTTCTTATGCATGTTTTGGCGGGCTGAATTGCACTTTTCGTGCAGCGATAGGAATGAAAACAATGGAGTGAAGTGTGCAGCCCCAATTTAACAACCGGTGAATATGTTTTGGGGTCGCTCAGTTGTAATGTTTCAATGCAGATAAATGCACTAACTCACTGTTACTTTAATTTTCAAATTTTCTCCAGGATACCCAAGAATCTACTGCGTGCATTATGCATTGTGGTACTGGGAACCAATACCAACTTGCCACAGTTTGAGCCCATCAGCCTACTGTGCAGTGCAGTGCTTCAAGAGTATGGCCCCACTCCTCAGCTGGATGTGGAGCTAGGGGCGGGGCAGGCCAGTGATCTCAGACATGTTCCTTATTTGCTGCCCGTCATTTTAGCACAGGTAAGATGCTTATTTGAAGAGGGAATTGGTTGCAATTAATGACAAGAAGGGGAATAATCATGTATTTTATTGTGACCCATTATATTATGACCACAATGGTAGTAATCATTGTGAGCTTTCTTTTTGTTTGTCTTTTTGTTCGTTTACAATTTGGCTTCCTTTGACTTCTCAGTTTAAATTAGTATCTGAATTAACTGGACTCATCAATGAACTTTCATAAAGTGTATGATAAGCACAGCCAGACTGCATTTGAAAAATAATTATGTGGAATTGTCAATAATATAGCCCATACTCCATAACAGATTTTTTCTCATGATAATGTATAGTTTGTTAAAAAATTATCAGTCACTGATTTGCTTATGTGATAAGTATTTCTAGCTTATATTATATTGCTAAATTATCAAATCATGCTAATACAATATCAAGTGATATTTACAAAAGAGTGAACATTATATTCAGAATATATAATGCATAACAGCACATCTTTAAAAAATAACCTATTACAGCATGTTTTTAGAACATTTTGTACTGATTATATTCCCAGATTTTGATCATAATAGTAACATAACTCAATGAATATTTTCTAGGGCCGTTGCTCCAAGCGTCTTGAGAAACTTGTCTCTCAGATGTTGAAATGGGTGTCTACAGTGGGATTCAATTCTGAGATCCAGTGCAGGGCTCTGTCCAGTCTGGTTACCACGGCAACCCAACACAGAGATTTACTATCTGATGGTGAGTACATGTACAGTTAACAACAGAATTATTCATACCCCTTGTAAAAAAACTTTTCATAACTCAAGAACAAAAGAGGGACTGGTTGAATTGGGGCCTTTATTGAGCACTTGAAATGTAAGCTTTAATATGTCACTTTCTCAAATCAGGACAAATCAATTTCTCACATACTAAGAAACTTATAAAAGTTGTTATAGATATGAATAATTTGTTCGTTAACTGTACATGTTTAAGCAGAGTTGCTCTCTGTGAAGCAATGAGTAAAGCTCTGGTTAATTTATTCATCGTCATCCATCTACATGTAACTAGCAATGATGACTTCTTTCCACATGATGTGAGAGAGAAATATGTGTTTCAAAATTGTATGACTGTCTTTAAACATTGTATATTTCATATGCATGCATACAGAAATGCTCATTGCTTGATTACTATGGAGTTCTAAAGGTTATTATTTTGTGCAATTTCACCCCTACAAAATTGTTGTAAGTCTCATTTATTAGTGTGAATTTTGTGTACGGTGTTCATCTTCATTTTCTTCTGTTTGGTTTGTTTTGATTACTTTTAATCAACAGATTGACTCTGTTCTCAGCATTTATGTTTTTCATGTTTGGTCTCAATATAACCCTTTCAGAGCAAATCTATGTGGTTGGATCCCAGCTGAGTGACTGGTTATCTAATGCTAGCACCAAACAAGCAACAAGCCCTCACTCTAAGCAGAAATCAAGCAAAAATGAAAGCGTAAGTTGTGACAAGATTTTAATCATATTCATAGATTTTCTCCTAAAGAGGAGTCTTCATGAGCCACTGGAGTTATGGATTTTCAAACTTGTGAAGTCAAATCAACTTTGATTTCAGCTCTTTAGATTGTCAACAAAACATGGCCCATACCCATTAATTACCTTTTCAGACTGTAAGGAAGGTAATGTTTGCTAATCATTTAGTAGAATATTTTGTAAACTTGTATCTGAACAGACTTGACTGTGGTGAACACATTTTTACATTGGAAGATAAGACCATCTTTTAGATGTTGACGACAATCATAATAATAAAATGAGGTAATGGAGTGACAGTAATTATTAAGTACTTGTAGAATTAAATTAAATTTGCAAGAACTGTCACACGCTGTACTGCTGTTTGTTGTTAATGATTTGTATTCAAGTTAGGCTCTGCATACATTATAGGTATCAATGAGACTTCTGTATTACATGGAATTGAAAAGACCCTGAATGTGTTTATAATAACATCATTTGTATTGTAAATGTTACTTGTACCTTAGGTGACAGAGATAGATGGGCGAGAATGCCAGGACTTCTTCACCCTACTGAGTCTCTCATCCTACTATGGTCAAGACCAGCTCCTCAACATACACACCTTCTCCAGTCTGCGTGCCTGGTTACTAGCCACAACCACTAGCCCTGCTGGTGGGGCAAGCAGACCTCTGGAGGTCGGAGGAAGGGGGTTGCCAAGTTTAGGAGGAGAGGGGGCATCGAGGGCAGCTTCCTCAGGGGGAAAGTTTGCCAACAAAGCGAGGAAAGCAATGATCGAGAAGGCATGCGAGTACTGCCTCAGGGTCATTGACCTCTGTCATAGAAGTAAGTCACATAAAATAAAACAGCACACCGCATTTGGTGTGATCATTTAAAATGTATTGATTGTATTTGACTATTTCATTAAAGGGATTAGATTTGTATCACTTTTGGTGATTGGTAAGACCATGAACAAGACAAAGCTTCAAGTAAATTTACAAAAAACATTTATGAGAAGAGCCCAATTATGCATATTTTCAGTGTTATTTTCCAATCAATGAAATAGAAAAAAAAAGTGTGATGTGAAAACAGTTGATGAAAGTCTTTTTGTTTGTTGCAATATGTTTTTGGGTTGTTTTAAATTTCCTTTAATTTTTGTTTCATCTCATGTTTTGTTGACATTTTTATGAGAACAAATAATTTGTGTTAGATCTATTTTAATAAAATCCAGTGTGTAGTACAGGAGTTACCTGTAAATACATAGTGGAAGTTCAGTCTTAGGATATTTTTATGACTACAGTATCAATAATTTTTATTTTATCTTTAAAGGACCTCTAAAGATTCAAGATCAAGACCTCATACAAGCAGTAAGTTTCTACTGGACGGGTGTAGTTATCAATATTCTTCCCCTGTCATTATTTGTCTCTTCTTATACTTGATACAGACAAGTTATGTCAATGATAACTACTAGAAGAACCTCAGATTATTCATTTGTTAAAGAAAGTATAAATAGAAGCAAAAAGATGATAATGAATCACTGCCTAATTGAATTGAAAAGAAATTACTTATGAGATTTTTGATGATGAATATGATGATGATAAGGTTCATAATAGAATGCCGGTAATTGAGGTTTAGATAAATCATAAAGTAACTCTAAGTTATGAAAATACTAAGTTTTAATATTAATATCACTTCCATTTTTCCCAGTGCCTAGTTGAAGCGATAGAGACCTTGATAGTAATCTGCAGACTAGACACCTCTCTGGTCTCCAAGCTTTATCCATCAATCAAACAAGCTCATACAAACCTTGCCAAGAAATGGCCCAGAGTTCAGCTAGCCATTCTTCAATTCTTCCTGGACTACAGTAAGTTTCTAACAATGACCTTTGATAGCTGTTATATGTCCTATCATAAGAAATTATGCATGTATAATTTTACCCTTTATCGGATGATATATATTTTCTTGTAGTTGTAGCTGATCAAAATTTAAATGCAGTTTGTTACTGCCGATACCATTTTGTAGTGAGCTGTTTATATGTGGGCCCCGTATTACAAAGAGTCAAACGCAAGTATATACATAAGAGATTGGAGACTGCAAACTTGCGATTGATTTGGATCAATCGCAACTCTCTGTAAGATAGGGCCCAGGTGAAACAACTACATGTACTTGTAAATTCACATAATAATAATAACACTAATGATAATGATTTTGTTTACCCAGGGAAGCCTCTTCTTTTATTATTTCTGTCCTTCCTGAGGGAAGATTTAGCATGTTTTGTGAAAGTTTATAACCCCCTTAGGCCCTAGCAGCTCTCTAATATGCAGTTTTAATGCGAGATAGTCTGCTCACTCTATCCCAAATGCTTGATGCAATAGATTCATTTTCAAAGCTAAATCACCTACACTTACTCTGGTTTAATACTTAAACTTTGCCTTGTTTTATGAAAATTTGTAATAAAGCTTCTTGTTTTTGTCACATGTTTCCTTAATGAAGCACCAGATCTGTTGTGATTGAGATCATATTTCTTCATATGATTTACCATTTCAGGTGAAGCATTGCATGTGGTGTTCAAACCAGAGGAAACAATTGCAGATCTGTTTGGTGAGGTCATTACAAGATACATGCATGATGACACCGTGACCTTTGACACTGTGACCTTTCTCCTCACCAATCTCCAACAGCTTTGTCTGGAAACAGAACTTCTTGAGAAATACTCTCCAAGTATATTAAGAGTAAGAAGATGTTTATTATATTTATTGGCTAGAAAGGATAGGTAGAATGGGATGGCATTCAGATTTTCAACAAATAGCTTTTTTATGGATGCATTGAACAGTTATGACAATGATTAAATATGATCTCGGGTGAAATTATATTTTGTTAATAAAGTGAACCAACGAGTAAGCATTTGTTTATGCTTGACTTCCCAATGTACATATTTTCCAAGCTACATATAGTTCACATTAAGGAAAATACATCGTTCTCTTTAAACAAATTATTCAATTGTTGTAGTCACTGGGATGATGAAACCTTACCTCTCACATGGTGCACCCGCAAGCCTACTGTAAACTTACATTTTGTGTTGAGTAGATTCACTGTTGTCAGTTTTCTGCCAACAACTCCTACTGGTTCTGAATTTAAACAATTTAGCACTCTACCAGAATTTCATGATAAGATATGTTTTTTTGCAGTTATTTGTGCACTTTTTATATACAGATTCTTGCCTGGAATCCTCGCACCTTCTTGTCTGACTATGTGGAGATCTTACCAGCAATGATATCAACGGACACTGCCAAAGAAGTAAGGACCACTTTTAAAAAATACATGTCCATGTAGTTGCAATTAATGATTGTTTGTCTCTTCTTATTATGTTACCTAATGGGTACAATGATTGTTGGGTGGATACTTTACTTACTCACAATATGCTTTGTCAATCTCCTCTTGTATGCCTATACCATGATGTGGGTGTCTATGTAACATCTGTAGACAAAGTCCTTCCTGACTGACTAGAAGGGTGAAAGGTTACGTTAGTTGGTTGGTTGGTTTGTAATTTTCCTTTTTGGTGGACAATTTTCTCTTTTTCACTTACTGCCAGCCTAGGGGGTATCCCAGTTCAGTGTGACTTTAGGAAGACATAGAGTATTCTTTCTTGTGAATGAAATGTAGTTTTTGAAAGACCAATGGAGGTGACAGCTCTATCAAGATTTACTCTTACCAACCCTTTTCCAAGACCACTCTTTCCGCTGAAGATAACCTTGATCATTTCTCTATGGTGTACAATAATATATATAGTACCAACCTAGGTGAATTAGCCTGTTAATAAGGAGCTTATTAAAAGAATATCATTACAATGAACAAAAAAATATCTGATAAAGAATTGAATTTCCTGCTGTAAACCAAAAAGGAAATCTTAACATTTTTTTTTAACCATAAGAAAAACCCAATCTTTTATCAGTATGATGTCTTAACGTTCTTTTTAACCAGAGAGTATATATATATATATATATATATATAAGAGATTAAAGATGAAGTTGAGTTCTGGTCATGCGATTGCATTGTGAAAGAAACGGTGTGGAACCGACCAGAAAAGGTTGATCATCTAGCATATAAGAATTTGTGTGTATTGCAAGGTTCTGGAATCATCAAAATGATAAGAAATTTGGCCAAGTCTTGGTAAAGTTACAAACACTTGCACAGAAAGACGTATATGGGACTACACGAACACGTGGCGTAAAAAGCCGGCCCCCCGATTTTTACGATGTTACATGCATATTTAGAATATGAAGGCATTTGAAGAGCCATGCTTTTCAGGGAATATGTCTTATCTGATGTTCTTCCACACTTGCATAATAAGAATGAGTAATGCTCACAAATTATTTTTCACCTCTTCCCAGAACTCAACCTTCTCTTTAAATTCAGGATGGAGTATGAAACTCTGATACATATCCCATTCAATTATAAGTTTATTTATATGTGTTCCGTTTTCATTTATAATCTTATGATCTTTACCTCTTTCCAGATGCTCCATCTGCTTCTGGACCTGCCCTGCACCACCGCCTCTCTGATCCTGACACATAGAGAGAAACAGCTGAGACAGAATCCTTCCCTTCTTGAGAGTCAGCCATCTTGGTTGACCTCTGTGAACATCCTGAGGAAACCTGAACACCAACCCTGGTTCAACTACATCCTGAGGTCACAATCAGGGAAGGGAGATACTATCACCAAGTAAGACTATCAGATTCTGCCTGTGTAACATTCGTAATGTGAAATTCATAGATAAAGATAAATAACAGATTCTTATTTTATAAGCTTCCTAACCTTTATAGATTTTGATTTATAACATATTTGTTGTGAATTTTGCGGAAAAGTTTTTAGTCGTATTATACATGTATTGTTGCTTTTATTGTAATATGTCCTTTGCTTTCATTTTAAGGAAGCCCTTCATCCAAAACTCATTCTAAATCTGAAGTTTGTGCTCATAGATTTTCCAATTTTCTGAGAAATCAGTGGAAATTCAAGTAAAGGGAGTTTCCATTGACATAATCACATTTTTTAACAATGCAGTCAAAAGGCAACTTTCTAGCAGTGATTATCAAAAGTTAGTCGTGCAATATTTTCTTTTATTAATTTAAGCTGTGCATGCAGGCATGTTTTTATACTTGCTCTTGCTCCTATGCAGTATGTTTTCAAACTTTTGTAATTTTATTAATCACATTGTTTCTACTATTTTAACCAGTTTTATGCCTTTTGTGCAGTTTTATTTATTTTGTCATCTGAATTCACCCTCTTTGCAGGTTAAATTTCTTATACAAGTTGATAGAGAACCTGGCGTCTCATCCAAGAGTATTGATATGCTCCCAAGCTATTCCGTCGCTTGTCAGGTAAGAAAAGTCCCCAAACTACTGGGCCTTCACGGTATCACCTCGTCATTTAGTCTATGGTCTCAGTGATCAATCTGTTTAATACTCACAATGTGAGGCAGTTATTTGAAGACTTTTATAACTGGGAAAAATCACTCTTTGTCCCCTCTGAAAAGAAAAGCTAGAACATAATTGCTTAGGGTGTTCATTACCATATTTTCGGATGTAATTTTTACTTCAATTTTAATGGAGATTAAAGATCTGAAGAGCTGTTTTTTATGCTTTTGGATGTTGCAAAACATGGGTTTAATACAGTTGTTTAAACTTTACAAAATACATACTAATGATGTGTTTGGGCTTTGTGCAGTTGACTTGGCAATATGTCATGCTTTATTATCTGCAATAAAGCGATTTCTACAATTTTGATGTAATGTCAGTAGATTGATGTAATATATATGATTTTTTGACAGTTTTTTTAACTAGTTGCCATTTGGTTTCTCAAGACCTCTGGACAAATTATTCAGCTTATTGCACTTTTCTTTGTCATGCAGACTATACTTCAAGACAGTATTGCAACACGCAGACTATGACTTGGTCTCTCAGCTTGTACCTATCATCCTGGAAAGATCAGCCATCCTCTTCCCTATCACTACCTATCAAGATGAGATGAGAAGGTAAGTGCAGAGCTGCCAACCATTCTGTTTTTGCCGGAATTACTACATTTTTTCTTCATAAAATACGTTTTTTAATACATTTTTTAATAATTTTTTTTTTTTTTTTTTTTTTTTTTTTTACATACTGCAGGTAAATGGTGATTTGATCACAAATTCAATAGAAAACTAATTTTAAAACATTTCCTTTTTTTTTGCCATCATGATTCCTTTTTTTAGTCGCAAAAGTTTGGCAGCTCTGTAAGTGAGATGATGTCCAATCTTGGATCGGGCTGCAGACCAGAGACCTGTTTCACAAAGTCTTTTTTCAATGACAAATGACAAAAATCAGTGAAAAATCTCCTGATAACCAATCAGAAGCAAGGATTTCACTAGCTTATAACAAAAAACTGTAATTTGTCACTGATGACAAGTTTTGTGAAATGAGGCCCAGTTGTACAGTACAATCTTCTGCGACTGCTACTCTGACATCACTTTCCTACACTGGTCAAATCTATAACTTCAACCCTTGAAACGCTATACATGTACCTAACCCTAACCTAAACCCTATCTCTAACCTAATCATAACCCTTTCTCTGTCCCTATATCTTAGACAGAATCAATGTTGCCAGGGGTATGTTGGATCACCCTTCAGGCCTTCTTACATTTTACATAATATGAATCAGAATAATATAGTTTGGTTTGATAAGCAGGGCATATATTTATGTGTTTGTGTATGTAAAAGTGCATTCAGATCCTATAAATTTGATTTGATTTAATTTTTTGTGATTTTTGTAGGGGGGGGGGGGCTTTCCGATCATGAAACCAAAAAAAGAACACCCTAAACAAAACAAAAATCTTTTGAACTTCTGTTTTATTATTTGGGGATAGCACCAATTCTTTGAATTCGTAGTATTATGTAATTATCACAAATCTATGTCTTGTGTTTTGAGGGTACTCCTTTTATCTGCAAAAAGCTATACACTTGAAAACACAGTATCCATAAGATATAATCTTTTGTCTGTTGATGTGCTGAATATTGTTGAAGTAACATTTGTATCAAATTATCTCTTTCTTGAAGGGTGTTGGGTGATGCCCTCCTGGAGATGTTCAGTCTTCATCCCAGCTTGGTTGTAGATCAGAGGACTGAACTCCAGGACTTCATTGGAGCTTTGAGGCACATCGATGGCAAGGAAGACTTCTTCTCACATGTGGTAAGTGGGCAAGCTCTTTTTTTCTACTGCTGGTCAAATTGAAGATAACGTTGTGTTCTTGTCAGTAGGATGTGAATGGATGGGCAGCCAGCAGATATTTATTTCTACAAAATATGAATTTCAAAGTCTCTTTCTTTGCCTATATCTACATATCATAATACATGGCAGTCTGGACATTTTCTCATTTGTTCACAGTGATACATGTAAGCTATAACTTCTCTGTATTATTTGATCATCCCTTTTATTACGAAGGAAAACAATGACATTTGACCAAACTTCATGTTAATGCCCTTCTGTTGGATATAAAACAATGTAGAAATTATGTGCTTCCTAATTGAAGGACCAATCATAAACTTGATCTGCTACTGCCTTTATAAACAAAAAAATGCAAGCGTTTATCTACCTATCACTGAGGAGTTCTACAAATTTACCCTTCTTGATTTAAATTATGAACTGAACTAGAGTTGTCAGTATACTTGATTCTGATTTCAATTTTTTTATTCTTTGAAATGCTTGCTGACTTCTTGTCTCGTAAGGGTGTTTATGTTTTGATATCTCTCCCTTTTCTCTCCCACTCTCTCTCTCTTTCTCTCTGCCTGCCCCTCTCCCTCTCCTTTTCTCTTATCCTTCTCTCTTTCTATTCTCCTTCTCTCTTTCTCCCTCCCCCTCTCCTCTGTCTATTGCTACCAATATTAGGTCTGGATTATTGGTCAGTATACTGCCTCCATGCATGACAAAAGATGCACTATGGAAATCATATCTGGTTACTATGAGGTAAATATTTACAAGGGAAGGCTGAATGATCCTTCTTCTTTATACCTAATAGTTATTTGCTCATAGTGGGGGGGGAAATATGAGCTTCAAAATGTTTTATCACTCAAAACACATGCATTAAATAGGTACCTTGTATAATCCCTTGCTTTTCAAAGCATGTTGAAATATACACTCTGCAGAAATGTAGTATTATCATTGTTCATATTATTATACATTTTCTTGAGACATCTTTATTCAAAATTAATATATTAGAAGATGCACATGGGTTATGTGTAAATCAATTCTAAATCTGTATCTATGTGTACACAATAAAATTCAGTCTGGTCACTTTTTAGAAAAAAAATCATTTTTCTATTCCCAAGATATATCTTATAGAAAGTGAAAAATCTTGAATATCTCCCACCAAACATATCTCCTAACTTTGTTAATCAATTTACTTTCTTCCTGCAGTCTCTTGAGACCCTACTCTACGAGGTCTCTGTCCTGGTCCAGTCCTCCACAGAAGGCAAACCACCATACTCCATCAGACTCATGGCCATCATGATGACAACCCTGGCCAAGGTAGACATGCTAACATTTACAGAGTTTTCGATGACTTATTTGATTCAATCATGTCTTGTAATTTATATGATTTTTGGTCAAGTTCAGGCAAACCAGAAGTGAAGTACATGTATATACAAGCTCAGTAGAATCTCTAATGCCAATACAACATAATGTACGATTGTCCTCATCTCCTTTCCTCGCGTATACTAACATATTATTATTGTTATTATATTCAGGTGGGGACCACAACTTTACAACTCGTATTACATAGATCATAAATACTGGTATTGTCTAGCTGATTCTGTCATCTCCATTCTGGATAAAGTTTGAATTATGTCAGCCAGTATGGGAAATCTTAACTTTTTGTTACTTGTAGATCTACATGATATTTGCTGATGCAATAAGGGCAGAAAAGGAAGACAAATAATAATTATAATATAGTGATTACATATCCCACCATGTACCTATTAACCTTTTCATACGCACATGAAGTATATTACACAGGCTTTAGCCTCAATGTCCTGATAAGACACTGGGTCACTGAAGGAATTTCTTCTCACAGGTCCCTATTGATCTCACCTTAATTAAGTATAGCAAATCTAAGTTAGAGTCTTGCCAAATGAGAAAAACACCTCAACCCATGCCGTTTTGTAAGCTCCCTGAAATTTCTATAATGATTTGTTAGTATATGAAGAGCTTTATTCCAAAAGGAGCTAAATTCACTTTTGATGAAAATTGAATTATTGATATCAGAACATTGTTCACATAAGTACCTGTCTTTCAACAAAATTATTTAACTAAATTTTGGGAGCAATTATGAAAAAATGCACATTCTAATATCACTTTTCCATAGATGCCTGTACAAAATCTGGTAACAATTCTATTTTTCTGTAAAGCTACAAAAATGCATTTAGCTCCTTTTTTAATTATATTGAAGTAAGCTCTTTTTGTTTTCTTCTTCTAGCTTGCTTCAAGATGTCAGGACCTGATACCTCGAGTGATCCTGTGCCTGACCAAGATCTCCCAGCAGCAAACCAAGAGCAGAGTAGGTCAGGATGATAAGAAGGTCTTACTCAGCAGGGCGACGGAGCTCGTCAATCTCCTCAAGTTACCAGAGTACGTTAACATTATAAAGGCTCTAGTTATATGTATGTTTGTCAATGTGCAGTTCAGCAGTTTGTTTATATCTATCTGTGCATTTTGATGTATATGTAATTGTTCTGTCCTCCTATACACTCCTTTGTTTTTGCATCGATAGTTGTATGGATATTTTCTCTCTCAAGTAAAGATAATTAGAACATTAGAAAAAGATAAGGCGTGTTAATATATATGCAGTACTTTGTTTTTGTATTGAGGTTATGAATTCTCATTTTTTATGTGTTATAGTACCTGAAAAGACAGATGATGTTATAGAATAATTAAGGGTATTTTGAAGATACAATACCAGCAAGTACAAAAAAATGTTAAGGATAGCAAGAGGATAGTGATGTAAAAAAAAAAGGGAAAAGTGAGAAAGGGGATTTTCCACAGTTATCATGTGTCTATATAGTCAACTGTCCACAAAAAAGGCTATGTATTGCCAATGGTGGTAATGGTCTTCTTGTGGACAGCCTGTAGTATATATATTTTTTTATATATATTTTTTTATGTCGTGTTTTCACCTTGTCGTCTTTCCTTTTTGTTCCTCATTTAGTGTTGCTTCAGCCATCTTAAGCCCATCAACTGATATCAGAGAGGGAAGATGGCACTCTGATGTCAACGCATCCATCCCACTCCTTCTCAAGGCAGCTAGTCAACTCATCCAGCCCCAAGCAAGTTAGTCAACTAGGACAACCCCAAGCCAGTTAGTCAACTTACACCTCAGGCTAGCTAGTCAACTTGTACAACCCCAATCCAGTTAGTCAACTTGTACAACCCCAAGCAAGTTAGTCAACTCATACAACCCCAGGCTAGTTAGTCAACTTGTACAACCTTAAGCAAGCTAGTCAACTCATACAAAGAAAAATCCCAATCTATTGTAACTAACAAACTCATTCAACCCCAGGCTAGCTAGTCAACTTGTACAAGCCCAAATTAGTAAGTTGTTAAAGGCTTTATATAACCTCAAGCCAGCTTGATAAGCTAGATAATCACATAGTTCAGATAATCATCTCTGATTTATATCAGTGGCTATTTTACTTGTAGAACTACTACTAACTAGTAAGGCATTTAAAGTGTATGGTAGCTGTATACAGGATAGTCATCTGATATAGTGGCGTATCGGCAAGTACCAGTTTTAAGCTATAAAGTTCTGTTTTTGGAGAATTAATATTTTTGCAAGTGGGGCAGTTATTGTTGATAATGCTACTATCTGTTATGTTCTAAGAAAAACTAAGAACTTACAGAATTTAATGATTTCAGAAAATTCCAGAAATTTACTATCTCCATAAACATCCTTCCATATCATATGCGATGTTGTTATGAGGTCTGATATCGGTGTTATTGAAAGAAGATCCCTAATGTTTTTGAGAGGACATGGCACTGCCAGTGACCTTGATGTGGATCAAGATTAATGCTTTGACAGAGAGCATTATGTTTGTAGCAATGTCTTGGTGTCAGTCCTCTCCATCTTACTAACACCTGCCCCCCCCCCCTTTTAATGAAGTGATTTTAAAGTGATACAGTACCTGTGTGCTCGGGAATAGTATTTTCTTTTAATAGAATTGTTGTTGTTGTCAGAAACATTCAACAAAATGAACTAAATTAGCATGATGGATGACCTTTAATCATGAAATCTTGTATTTTTACTTTCTTTGTAAACTAAACTTATTTGGCAATTCCTCTTTGATCGATGTTAAACAGTGCAATATCATGAATAAATCAGTCATTACTGATAAGGAAAGAATGGTGTGCATTTCATCGGAGCTCCTAAGCAGAAGTACCGGTATGTGAAAGAAGTTTATCCTTCAAGTGTGGACTTCAGACCTCCAAATAAATAATATTATCTTTGCATTTAAAGTAGCACTCACACCTTGGGAAATTAAATGAGTTCAAAATCAACATAGCACTCTTTGTCTGTCTGTACTTGAAGGTATTGCCACTTAAAAGTGTTTGTTTTTCGTAAACTTTAGACCTCATAAGGCTGTTTCAAGATACCCAGGTCCTTGCTACAAGTTTGTTTTCATAAGCTAAGAGGATCTTATCAGATAGTGTACTTCTGTATACTGATGAAACTGTCATTGGCTCAATGCAGTTCATTTACATGAACAATAATTTCTTATGTATAGCTTATTTATGTATATGTTTGCATTTAAGTTGCACTTATCGTATTTATATTTTATTGTCAGGATTATAATTTTACCATGTCTTTTTTTATATTTTTACATATACTCCTTTTCTCCAGAAATACTAACATATATCCATAATACATTGTCACCATTTTGTTATCGAATTATACCGTTGTTGAATTGTACATTGCAGATAATTTTATATGAGATAGAAATCCTAAATTTGTAACATATTTGCAATAAATTGTTATTTTTATAACCAAGATTTTTATAAATTTCATACCGTATTCTCTTTTGTTGAGTGAGTTACTACATAATTTTTATCCTAGAGCAACATAACAGAGTGTCCTATTGGAAAAAATAAATGTACAGTTTTTCCTATTAAGGATGAGTTGACAGTTTAAAATTGAAATAATCATGTAATGTATACCAATTTACACACATCTTTGACACTATCCCTATATAATTGCTACATGTACATGTACAAATACTTAAAGCAGTCATATGCACTCCATACATGGTTACAAAATTAAAGCACTGCGGAAACTTGCGTCACACAATCATACTAGGGCCAGTAGTAATAGCTAATCAAACCCATGGTAATCTATAGTCTCTAATAAACTAAAGGAACCTTCAAACGTTCATGTATTCTAAAAGGAGATCAATACAAATTTATTTGTTTTCCTATTTAATTGCAATGGTTGTTCAGAAAGGTCATTCATCCAAATATATGGTGTCGTGGGTCAACAACTCTCTATTGAACCCTTTGGTTTTATTACTCCCTCTCAAATACTTTGACTGTATTATGAGCCATGATTTATCCAAGGCTCAACTAATGAATAAGAAAGAACTAGTTTTATCCTCATCCCTTTTTGCTTTCTGCAGACTGATTCACATGTACATAAATGTGTCAAGAAGTTCTTAATGTCGTTATTAAAGTATATATGACATTTATTTTTTTATCATATTTATTCATAATACAAACTTCATCATAAAAAATCTCTTTTGGACTCTTACACAGAACAAAGAATGACATAAATAAAGAGACATTTATTTTATGTTAATAACTATACAGGTTTCTTTATTTACACACCAAACTGTAACAATACAAATATAATAAAGAATTGTAGATATACTAGCTTAGACAATAAAGTTAGCTACATTAGTGGTAAAAATATATTGCATTTAAGAAGTTAAATGATAGGTACAGATACAACTTTTCTTTTAATAATCAAAATAATGCCTCTGTGGTATTCAGTTATCAATGCTAAATCTCAAACTGATTATAAATGCACTAACAGTAATTTTGACACATCTCAGTATTAAATGGAATACAGTAATATGATTTCCAATTATTGTAAAACTATAATTCCTTAAAAATCTGGTCAAATCCCTCCAAATCCATTTAGTCAGTAGGCCTAGTGTTTGTCTTGAAATGAAATTACTGATATTGTATTTGAAATATATTGAAAGTGAAGTTCAAAATAAAAGACCATATAAAGACATAGAATTCAGGAAATTTGCCTCAACATAATTCATATATAGAACATGGTATTCTTATTTTCTTTCTTCAGTTTTTGAGGATGAAAAAAGCACATGCAGCAGAAATGGAAAACAAAAATCTTTTTTCTTCAGCACATAGCACAAAATCATGGACGGCAACGTACAACAAGGCAAGTGTGTAAAACAAACCAGAACAATCATGTATGACAAATTCGTTTGTACGAAAAATTCCATATGCTATTACTATTTTTCTTTGACCATGCAAAATTATTTGATCAGTCATAAAATGTTAAGTTTACATGAATTAATAACAATTTGTTTGGTTAAACGAATGATATTTATTTAAAAAACGAATTGTAATGAGTAGAGTAATAAAAAGATGAATATTACATGGAAATATGCTTTCCAGCTCTTTAGAATGTCTTTCATGTTAACAATTACCTTATTCCAACATTTCTGTTTTCCAACAAAGTATTGTCTTCATTTTAACAACTGTATAGCTTACCTTCAGCTTGCAATAAAATGACATACTGGTACTCATTTTATTTTGCATTAATAGCTTTAGCCAATGTTCCATATTCAATATTATGATGTTTGACACAATAAAAGGAACACATATTTAAAACAAAAATAATTAGGCTGAAACATATCAACATTTATTAGACATAAGATACAAACTTTTAAAAATAATTTTCCACTTGGTTAAAAGGTATAAGATTTCCTAATCAGAAACTTTGGCGCAACACATAGGAATTCCGCTGACATATCCAGCAAAAAAATAAATCACCCTCCCCAAGTTTGAAGGCATATGTTGAAATTGAATTTCAAAATGAAAGATTATGAAAACATAGAATTCACGAAATCTGCCTCAAACATACAAGGAAGATGCCAAGATACCCTGCGTCTCGCAACTCCTCCCTCCCTGGTTTTGGGAGGGATTTTCCCCATTTATAAGTGTTTCAGGGGATACGCCAATAATCTAATTTATAAATCCTTTTTTTTTTCTACAAGAACGCGTCGTGTACTTCTGAAAAGTTTTTTTTTGTGAGATGGCACTTGTCCAATCAAACAAAATCCGAAGCATGAATGGTTTTAAAAAGAGATCAACATAATAGGGTCCCAATATAGGTCGGCGACTTCAGTCCTGCAAACCCCATTTCCTATTTCCGTCTAGTTCGGGACTCGACGTGGATTTTGAACCGGTTTCCATCTCCTTGTAGCGGCTGTTGCGATGCTGTTTGACCTTGAAGGCCCTCACCCAGGCCGCGTCCGGCTTCTTGCGATGGATGCCCGCCTTCACTTCGGGAGTAGGAGAGGTGTGGTATGGACCCCGAGAAGAGTCTTTGGCGGTTAGGGGTGACGGCGAATGATCTACAAGAGATGAAGGAGGAGGAGGAGGAGGAGGAGGAGGAGGAGGAGAAGAAGAAGAAGAAGAAGAATGAGGAGTAGAATAATAAATAGAAGGATAGGAAGAAGAAGAAAAAGACAAATGAAAAAAAGAGAAAGCAGAAGGAGGAGGAGGAGAAGAAGGAGAAGAATGAGGGGTAGCAGAATAATAAATAGAAGGAGAAGAAGAGGAAGAAAGAGAAAAATGAGGAGTAGAAGAAGAATTAGAAAGAAAAGAAAGAGAAGGAGGAGAAGGAAAAGGAAATACAAAGAGAAGAGGAATAAGGAGAAGGAGAAGAAGAAGAAAGCGAAAATGGTAAATGAACACCGAGGGGTGAATAGAAACGCCATGGTGACTTCTTTTGTCCTTTCAAACCGCATGGGCATTTAATAATTGTAGGCTGCCCGATCAATTTTATGATGCAATATGCCTCGTCCTTCAAAGAGAGGAGCATACTTTTGTCTAGACGATTCATTTAAATTATATATGGAAGTTAATGTGATTAGTGCGATGAAGAACAAGTAAATAAAAGCCCCTTGGTATGTACCATGCATCAGATACATTGAATGATAAGACGAAAGATAACTACAATCAGTCCTTTTTAAAGGCCCACTGCACTACTTGTAGCTACTTGCGCCCTCTATATAACAAACAATGCCTAATCGGTGACCATTGGTCCCCCATGGTCCTCTTTTTCTTATGTTAACTGAGAGCTGAGTTGATGAGATAACCACCTGTCCAGTGACCTTGCAGGGCAGTCTAATCCCTCCTGTAAACTATGGCAGATAAGCTTTAAGCATATTTTCGTTGGCTATGACGAGAAGAAAAAAATCCATTCAAATACAAAGCTAATCTTTTTTTAAGACTTTTCACCAAGTCCTTCAGATCAAAATATATTTCAACAACTTCATATAATTATGCACTTGTTTATTCCAATGTGAAAAAAGATTCCTCGGGAGAAGGAGACCTCTGTTTCATACGATTCTTCCGAATCCTGAAACTACAATTACAAGCAATCTGCATCCAAACTTCCTCATTTTTTTGAATTTTCTTGATGACTGTCTTTTTCATTTTTTCACCTTTCTTTTTGAATACAATTCCAAAAAGCAGACAAATGATGATGTAAGCCCTGTGTCAATGAAGTCCCGGGGAAAAGGTAGCGTCCCATATTATCATCAAAATAATAAATCATGAATCTCCTTGACTGCGGTCGTTATAACTGCGCGAATTGTATGTTGGAAATTTAACGGAGAACTGTGAATGAGGTGATTAGTGATTTCGAAATTGGAAATTATTAGAAAAGTGTATTCCCTTATACACTAAAAATAAATATTTAATTAGTGAAAAGCTTTCATGCCGATAATGGTTTCAACTCTACCATGCCGGGGACATTCTCTTACCCCGTTTACGATTTTACCCAGGGTAGTACTAGCCCCTCCCCGATTAAAACAGGGACAGTAAAACACAAGTGGTGAGTATATATTTGCATTTTGGAGGATATAGAATTATCCTCAAAACAAAATGGTTGACGTACCTTGTCCTGAAGAGTTGTTGGCAGCGTTGTTGTTAGATTGGTCGTTGTTTCGCTTTTGTAACCAGTTGAGGTTGGTCTGAGAGTTTGGTACGCTGTCAGGTCCGAGATCGGACTGATTTGGTGATAACTCGATGTTGTATTGCTGCAACGATGTTGACGATGATGATGACAAGTCAGTTTCCTGATGATTGAAAGATAGAGATGGGAAAAAACGTGAACGCCTGTTGTAAATGTTTTAAGGAATTATGATTACGCCTTATGAGCATTTGATTTCAAGAGGGTTTAGTGCCTTATCATATTTAATATATCATTTATCATCAGTATTATTATTATTATTATTATTATTATTATTGCAATTTCCTATAAGTATAACCCAGAGATCATGAATCTTATTCTCAGGAGAGGCATATCCGAAAAATGTCAATCAGGAGCACGATTATATTCATCTTCGGGAGGGGGCGGATACAGGAATTGCAAGTTATATTGAATTTGTAGTGAGTGGATACGCCACTATACAAAAATAGAGACCCCCGTAACCCATCAAAGACTGTAAGCTTGATTCCGAAGAATCTAGCCTTCAGGAAAAGTAAAGTTGTGTCTTCATTTTTCACCGGAGGAGTATTTCGTGTTAACCAATGTCTCTTACTAGAGAGTTTGGCCTACCCGGTTCGAGTTGGGCACACTATTTTTTCCCCCAATTTTTGAGCCATCCACAGGCTATTTATTGATAATCTTCACACAATCAAACACAATCAAATCAAATATATGTGCATGTTGAAACAAATTCAAAATAATCTTTTCCATATACAAACAACAATTAGCTACAGCCACTTTACAGCAAAATATCTTCCTAATCTAAATAGACATACAATAAATTTCTCACCTTTATAATATTGTAAAACTTTCTTTTTCAACATATCAAAAAGCGGAACAATGTGGGCACAATCTGGTGAACATTGCTTTATTGGGCAATCGCAAAACAAAAGAATATACGCTATTTTGAGACCAGCTGATAACAAGTTGGTGAAACTCTGTGTATAAATGGCTCTGGTGTTAACGAGCCACGCCCTAAATCGACACCCGAGCTTCCTTCTTTCCCCAAACAGACCGTGTGTCCGGAGAAGTTAGTTATCCGGACAGTCGACTTTAAACACTCATTTTAAAGAAGTTTACATCCAACATTCATAAATCTTTTAAGTTTTATGTAACATATTACGCCGGACAAACATTTTATGGTTGTGCTATTTGATGAATACGTTTACCTAAATCCAAAAGCAAAAGTGACAGCTTTGTTTTTGTTAAGCGTCCCACAACCCACTTCATAGTCATTTCAGTACCAACATTGTTTGCCATTAGTGGATTTTTACATCCATTTAGGCCCGTGCTTGAGACATAAAGTTGAAGTTGTTAACTATATCTTTATTTTGCTCTTTTTCTTTACTGTTATTGAAGATGTTACTCTCATTGTTGTTGTCGATCTTGTTGTTGTTGCCGCTTTCGTAACCGCGACCTTCATGGGCAAGACGCAAATTACGCCCGAGGATATTACTTTGTGTAACATCGCTTCTCTCGATATTGATCAATTCAATTCAACCTCATTAGCGAATTGCTCTAAAAGAAAGCACAACAAATCAAGGATGCAGACTGGTGACAGTTTGAACGAAATCACAAAAACAATAATATAAAGTTATGAATGTTTGAAAGTTTTAATCATTATACGAATGTGAATTTCAAATTGGCCGAAAATGTATTGTCACTCTGATGTAGTGGCTGACTACTCTCCCATTTTGAGTAAGTACATGTACCCCAAGTGAGAAGGTGCCATATAAGGAGAAACAAAGAATCAAAGATATTTATTTGTACAATCGGACAAACGGGAGAATTGTCCGTGACTACGTCACAATCCATCAAAATTTCTGCCAACTTGAGATTCTTACAGATGGAGTGATTTCATATTTTAAACATTCATAACTTTATTATTGGTCCGATTTATTTCCAAATTTCGCCATCCTGTTTCTCTTATTTTCCTCCTTTCATACAAATGAACTCTTCATAAAGGTTGGATTGCCCTTTAAACAATATATTGGATGTTGCCGCCTGATATTCGGTCGTTCCTGCTGATCATGACATGCTAATATAATTGTCACGAGCGCTTTAATTGTATTCGTCTTAAAGGTAAAGACCAGTTATGGTCATGCGATTGCATTGTGAAAGAAACGTTGTGGAATCGATCATAAAAGGTTGATCATCTAGCATCTAGCATCTGCAAGGTTCTGGAATCATCAAAATGATAAGAAATTTGGCCCATTCTTCGTAAAGTTACAAGCACGTACACAGAAAGATGTATATGGGACTACCCAAATCTCTCACAGACCATGAGAGAAACAAAATTACCAAATATATGAATTAGTAGGCGGTTTCCAAGCAAATTTTTTATCATCATGTATTAGTCAAAACATATTCTTTCACATGATTGGTAATGAAAGCTTCCATTTCATTTTTTTGAAATTGTGGCGTTTCCAATACTGGTCTTTACCTTTAAACAGAGCATGAAAATGGAGAAGGGCTACGGTGTTTACCGCTAATCAGAATTTATCGATCACTACCGGTAGTCTTTTATAGACATTACCTCATAGTAGCGTATTAATGAATTAAAGAAAAACAAGAGGCGGAATCCCCTCGTTCGGGGAGCCAGAATAAAACAGCCATGCGTGACATTTACACCCACTGAAAGTTTCTCTTCCCCTCGATCCTCCGGGGGAGGGGGTCAAACTAGAAGGGCGTGTCCTTATTTGATTGGATACACCCCTGAGCAGAGTTATTCTTCATGTACATGTATATAGATTCTTTAGGTATCGATGTTATCAGAAACGGCAATACTTAACTTTTTGGAAGTGTATAATAATAATATTGTACATTTATATCGTACATGTACATACAAAAATGGAATGGAAATTCATGATAACCACATAATATAGTGGAATGCCTTAAATAAGTCGCTACGGTGCAGTGTATTTACAAAAATGAGAAAAAACAAAATAACAGAAAACAAAACTGCATGGTTACATAACCGTGATAACGACATGTGCGGATCTTCGAAAAAAACACTTTATTCACAGCGGGTGTCCTGAATATATTTTGATCAGTATAGGCCTATATGGAAAAGGGTAAAAACAATATTCTTCTTGATTCTCTAGCCTTTCTTGTTTTTCATTTCAACAAGCTATAGTGTTATTTATTACAACTTGTGGACAACTCGTTAAATTCCTGTTCGCTATTTGAGAGCGGGGGGGGGGGGGAACCTATCCCCAAATAAAGGACTTGTTGTGGTTTTGAAGCCATCGACGGCACATTATTAACCTTCTGTCACAAAATATCAGCATCTCATCATGTCTGTTCAATTTTCGGCATATCAGCTACCCCCTTCCCCTCCTTTCCATGAAAACATTGTTCCGTCGATAATAATTTACCCAGCAACAACTTTATAAAGAAGGGCTTTCATTACTTTGAAGGTATAGGCCGTCATCTGTTAAGGGTTAATAATTGATAAATGATTGTCTTTGCCTTGGGTCCAATTTACCTTCTTTGTATCAACCGAGAAATAAATTAGATTCTTCTTCGATGTTACGTCGTATAGGCCGATGGATCAATGTCATTATTCTCCAAAAACTCTTCTAATAAACCAAGACGTGGGCAAAATGGCGACGACTTGTATCTAATTGAACGACAGTATACCCCTACCCTATCGTCTATTAAACAGAATACATTATCAACATAATACTTATTACACTATACGAGGTGCTATTACTGCATGAAGAAAACGATATTTTGATTTTGTTGATTAACAGAACAATCTGGAGTAAAAAAAAATAATAATAATACGACTACTGAATTAAATGTTGATACTAGTATAAGTGTATCCTTCACTACCCTCGTTTCTTGAAACTTGACACAATCATTTCTTCAAATAAAAAAGACTGGTAACCCTTGAAAGCTGGCGACAATAATGGTGATTATAGTCACCCAAAACACACCGACAGTGAAGGAAATATATTTTCGACTATCACTTAGGCCAATATCACAACTAAAAGTGAAATAAAAAATCAAATACATTTGGTGAGATACCTGTATTTTCAGTATCTTTTAAACAAACAAAATATAGCAACTTAAATTGTCGTACAATTCAATATCACAGTGTCCCTTTTCTTCCATCACAGCATTACACACTGCACGCTTACAAGTACAGCATTGCATAAAAATGTGTTTTTTCGCAGCTTCATTTAAAGAATCGGTGCCAGATAACATAAACATCTCTCACAGAGTGAACACAAATTATCATGTTTTCCATGCAAGCGGAAAACATGCAGTCAATCTTACCTCTAGAGACTCAGTTTTTCGTCTTGGAATAATTCCAATTCGAAATCCAACTAATGAAAATTTCTTTTGGAAAAAGTATCACATAATTATATAAGCGACCAGATCTTATTATGACATTTAGTATAATTATGTGGTTTGTCTTGCATTATTATTGTAAGTAATTATAACGTCCTAAGTTGTTCTCTTGAATAAGCATAGCTCAAACCCCATTCTCCACAATAATCCATCTTGCCCCGTCTCCCACTTGGAGTTTGCTTGTCACGGAGAATCCTTTGAAATCATTATTGCCTCTCCAAACCCTAAATCGGTTCTTCCTCGTTCAATTTTTGTATTAATATATCTTATTGCTTTATATTTCTTATGTAATGTGCCTCACTGGGACAAACTAAGTAAAGTTGACAATATCAGAGAACTTAATATTCATATAATAATAGTTTTTTTTTTAATAATATACCCAATAATGCAGCATTCAATTTAAGTGACAAGTGTCGATATCCAGCAAAACGTGACGGAGAATAGAAATGAATAAATGATGATAAACAGATAACTTACCTGTGGTTTGAATTTTTGACCCCAGGCTGTCGAAACAGGTTCAGAAACTGCAAATTTTCCTGATCCGGCTCCCGTCTTCATCCGAAGTGGAGGATAAAAACCACCAATTCCCCGAACATTGACTCTGTCCCGAGGATGCAGACCGGGGATTCCTCCCAAGTCCACAATACTGGTTTTAGCGGGTTGACGACTTGGTCCTGTTCTTGTTCTCCCGACAAATTCATTAGTAGCAGCACTAGGGTTGACATTAGGGGCAGTTCTGACCATCCTTGGGGAGGGTGTCCTCTTATTGGTTCGGGAATTTGATTTACTAGGAATGAAGTCTTCAACGCCTTGTCCCTGTGCAGGAATAGATCGATTGAGAGCTGTCTGGACACTTTGGCGCGCCACTGCTGCTCGAGGACTATTCATGCTCGGTACTGCTACGCTGATGTGTCTTGTTGCCCCTTCCATAATTCCATCTGCTAGGCACACGAAGAGTGGCAACTACAAACCCAAACTTTCCTCAAACACGATGTCGAACCATCAACAAGTTTCAAGTTGATATGTATCCTATGCGAGAGGCCATGTTTGTTGTTAAATTATTCCGTCCGCGATCTTCGACTGTCCGTCTCGTCTCGTTGCCTGGCACACTGACGCTCACACCGAATCCTTATCTCACTCATCAATCTTTCAGGCCCGGCGTTTTTTTCCTCCTCCCAAACAATAGTTTTATTGACAAGGAATTGTCCCTCTCATTCGTACCAGCTCTGTAACTATCGCTCGATTTCTTAACAATTTGTTTCCCCCATGAAGAGTGTAACAAAAGAATGAACTCCTACGATCTCTCGACTCTCTGTTTGATACCAAACAGAAGAACACAAAAGATTTTGGGCGCCTCACTGAACACGAGAAAACAGAACGTCAATAGTATAGTTCTCTCGAGGGGGCAGAAACGGTGTGCATAAATAGGATTAATGTATGTAATGTTACGGGTATTGATCCTGAACGAAGGCCAAAGTAATTGAAATTCATCAATTCTTTGCCTCGTTGCTATTTACACTTTCCTTTTTACATTTTGAGATAATATATTCGATACAATGATCATAAAATAGTCATAGCATGGTGCAAATAGGCCTATAGTCTGTTCAAATATAAGCAAAAAAAGAGAGGGAGAGAGTGTGAGTGACTGAGGGGTAGAAAGAAATAAAGAAAGAGAGAGATAGAGAGAGAAAGAGAGAGGGGGAGAGAGAGAGAGAGACTAGGCTAGCAGTGACGGTAATAACTCATTAGTTTTCATAAAGTGATATTATTCATATGGATTATAATACATGGTCATGTAAGTTGCAGTTTGTTATTTAGGAGCTAGAATATGAATAATATGAATAATATGAATACGAAATTCATTCCATTGTATCCCAAAATGAAAGGAGATGAAAGCTGTACAATATGAGTCTTGAACAGGTAGCTCTGCTATCATGTACATGCATCTGTGTACAAGTTCCAGCAATTACCGAATATTAATGTAAACGAATTCATTAAACGTGCGTATTGTGCGACATAAAAGCACAATTAATATGACTTCGCAGAAAACCATGCGATGTGATATGGCATACATTTCTAGGCAAATGAAGAATGTTAGTAAACGTTGCCAAGGTAACGAACTCTCGGGGCTCCTCATAGCGCATTATCGGTACGGTGTGTCGTCTGGTAGGGAAATGATCCGAGGTCGCGCAGGGTTAAGACGGCGTAACAGAAAGAAAATATCGCTATTTATGGAGGGGGTGGGCATGACAATGTTCTGCATTTAATATGAATCGAAAGTAATACCGAGGTATAATCCAGAGATGTCGGGTCTGACGGCTTACACAAAAAATGGTCATGATGCGCTTTTGAGTTTGGTAAATTGACCCTCATCTGCGTTGTATACCTCACCGGGCCCTTCCCACCTCACCCACCACCGTGCACCGCTTATCTCTCGATTTTATTTATTCATATAATACTCCTTTATCATTTTTTCTCATCTCGATCTTTGTAGTTCTTTTGTCCATCCTCCTCGGTTTCCTCTTCTACCTCATTCTATCTTCTATTCGTTTCTCTATTTTCCTTCTTTTTTCTCTTCTTTACTTCCTTTTGTCAGAGTTGCCGTAAATATTATATACATATAAATATTTTGTATTATTATCTTCATTATTATTGTTGCTGTTACTTATCATTTTTATTATTCTTACTATCATTATCATTTCGTTATAATTATTATTGATTTTTGTTATTGTCATTCATTATTATCTACATCATCATTATTATTATCATTATTATTATCATTAACATTGTTACTATATTGTATTATATGCCGTATTATCATCTATTTATCGGAATGTGTCACATGTCTGGGTCCTGTTTCAGAAAAATATTTATCAATAACAAGAATCCATTGAGATATATTTGCTTATTTATATCTCTCTCTATAGGTATTATACCATATAAATCATATCTCGATTTTCACGTCTACTAGATTAGTGCTATAGCGCCATCTACGTTAGATATTAGGTAGTTGTATGAAAACGCTGTTTGGACGATACGACGAAAGCCAAATTAATTCATCATGCCAAAGGTTCGCAGAAGTCGGAAGAAAACCCCGGAAGGATGGGAACTCATCGAGCCTACTCTTGATGAGTTAGATCAGAAAATGCGAGAAGGTAATAATGTCGGAAAAAACCCTTTTCTATGTGGCCAGGGGAAGGGAACAGTGGTCAGTGTGATTATAGAGGTCCCACATATTGACAAACGTGTGGGTGGTGCCTACTTTTAGATTTACATTTATGTTTGTTGTGTTTAAAATTAAATCAAGTGAAATTGAAACACTTTACTATGAATACGTGAAAATTAAAGATTTGAATATTTTATAATCCACTGAATGATAACCAATTATTCATCTTATGATATCTTGACCGTAGTTAAATGAAATGTGTGTGTGTCACTAATCAAAATCATTTACAACAGTTTAATTCAGTTTAATTGAGCTCATTCAGTCAGACAGTTGCAGAATCACTTGTAAAGTACTACTATTTGGCAGGGTTTGAGTTCATATGACTACAAAGGTGTGTAGCTGTGCAATTGCAAAATAACCGAGCAGGCAATGCCGATGAGTATCAATTGAAGTAGACCGAATTTTCCGTCTCTCTCGTTCGTTAGCCTCTTATTGGGGTAGGGTCGGCTCTCTCTTTAGAGACGGAAACCGTCTATACACATTCCCTTGATAACGCCACGGCCATTTCAGGTCGTAGCGTTTTGCCCCCAAAATCCCCCCAAATGTCATTTTACCTCATGCATTGATTATTTAAAATTAGGAGAAGGTTATACTACATCGGTTCCACTTACCAACTTGACTGAAATAATCCGTTTAATGGTCCCTTTTAAGGAAATTATGGGTCAAAATCGACATCCATGTTGAAAATCTTGCAAGCCGTGTTAAACTCGCTGCGCACGGAGTCATCTAAATCAATCTCATCCCTTCTAGTCTACGCCGAAGGCAAAACGATTATGAAGGAAAAACTGTGATAACGCCATTACGAACGTGTAGATGGCGCACAGTTTTCCCTTCATAATCGTTTTGCCTTCGGCGTAGACTAGGAGGGATGAGATTGATTTAGATGACTCCGTGCGCAGCGAGTTTAACACGGCTTGCAAGATTTTCAACATGGATGTCGATTTTGACCCATAATTTCCTTAAAAGGGACCATTAAACGGATTACTTCAGTCAAGTTGGTAAGTGGAACCGATGTAGTATAACCTTCTCCTAATTTTAAATAATCAATGCATGAGGTAAAATGACATTTTGGGGGATTTTGGGGGCAAAACGCTACGACCTGAAATGGCCGTGGCGTTATCAAGGGAATGTGTATAGACGGTTTCCGTTTCTAAAGAGAGAGCCGACCCTACCCCAATAAGAGGCTAACGAACGAAAGAGACAGAAAATTCGGTCTACAATTGAAGTAGACTTTGGCATCTACTTAGACACCACACCAATCATTTAATACTCACTGGAAATGTTTCAGGGCAAGTCATTCTTATCTTCCCATTGGGTACGTCTGTTCGGTTCAGGTGTCAGTGTGCAAGAGACAGAATGGAGGCTGGCTCTCTCCGACGGAGCCTTCCGAGTGGAATACCGCCCTATTGTAGACTGCTGACGTCAACTGATGCTGTAGTCTGATATTATAGTATTAATGACTGCTTTGAGAGAAATAGTTGTTTTATTACGCTCAAGGGAAGGTTAGAATTGTGCTATTCCCCGAGGCTTGCCGAGGGGAATAGCCCAATTCTAACCTTCCCGAGAGCGTATGAAAACAACTATTTCTCGAATATTAAAGCAGTCATTAATACTTTTATATGCCGAAAAAAAATAGACTAAAAAATGAAAAATGAAAATTTTTTATCATTTTTGTCGAAGACGGGACTCGAACTCTTGCCTACAACAAGAGATGTACCGAAAACCAACGCTTAGACCACTCGGCTATGGCCCGCCGTTAACATGCTTGGCAGTTTTCTCCAATATATACATTAAAATGGATTGAAACCGGCTTCGCGTGTGATGAATGCTTCGCAAAAGCTCCATATACGGACTCTTCTTTTACTTTTGCAATGCATATTGGCACAAACTTAGATCAAGATCTATCGGCAGATGTTGTTTTTTTGTTTTGGAAGTTTATTTTCGTCTTCATGTCAACAATGCAAGATAAAATTGTCGGTAAGATCGATCGAGATTCAATTGTATTGAAATTACCGACCAATCCTTCGCACACATACGGCATCCTCCATCGCTCAAACCATTTTTTAACATGTAAACCTATGGGGTAACCATGGAGGCTGACCAACTTTTTTTAATAACCATGGTTATTAAAAATATTGAAATGTTTTATGCATGGTTACCGAGAATTTTACAGGAACAGTTGAAGTTTATGAATGCAATTCGACCAATCAGATGGCTGGATTTCTTAAGTGAGGTATATAACAGAGTCTACTATACTATTTTGAATTAGAAGCCTTTTATAGACTTCAACATTAAAGACAACATGTGAACATGACCCCCTGTAAAAAGATCAACCACTGAAATGGTTACTAGCTCCTCAAGTCTAAAACATCAAAATTGGAAGAAAAAAATCAAAACCCAGCTATATAAACACTTAACAGAACTACAGAAATTGTTGACTCTATCAAATTTTTGTTTAATAATTATTTTACTAGCTTTTTTCTACTTTCTTCTTGATTATATGTTTGTCTTTAACTATACAGCTGAGACTGAGCCCCATGAAGGCAAGCGTAAGGTAGAAGCTCTCTGGCCAATATTCAAGATTCACCATCAGAAATCAAGATACATCTATGATTTGTTCTACAGAAGAAAAGCTATCAGTAGAGGTAAGGCTCATAATATGTTACATTTTTAAAGAAATTATTGCATTTATATTGAAACCAAACTAGTATTCATTGATAAAGAGCTGTGATTGTTTTAAATAGACTAATAGAGTGTATTTCAAGATTCATACAATTGCCTATACCTATTGTGCTTGATGTAAAGCTCAAGATGTGTTCCAGGTTTAACAGAGCTTTTGCAACTGCGTTTGATGTTTTTCATTAAATAATCTTTGAATTCCAAATTAGAAGGTTCAGATATTTTTTGAACGAAACTGTAGTCATCACATTGACATTACTCAAATTCAATCACAACATTGCATTAACAGTATAATTTTAGCTATGGTTATTTAGAAGATACTTTCTCTGTCCATTTGTGCTAACACTTTTTCTCCAACGCACTTCTGTCAAAGACGTGACTAATGAAAGATGTATCATCTTTTATGCTCTATCACTGTCAATAACTATACAAGCTCTGCCTCCAGGCTTGTGTCATTAAGAACGTGGGTTACAAAGATCATGACTTTGCTTTCTGACCTTTTCAGAGTTGTACAAGTTCTGCATCAAGGGTTTTCGCATCATGAACGATATGATTTACAAAAAGTTTGATCTTATCACCTTTCAGAGTTGTACGACTTCTGCATCAAGGAGGGCTATGCTGATAAGAATCTGATTGCTAAATGGAAGAAGCAGGGCTATGAGAACCTGTGCTGTCTGCGCTGTATCCAGGCTAGGGACACTAACTTTGGCACCAACTGTATCTGTAGAGTACCCAAGAACAAACTGGAAGAGGTAAGGACAATGTTGTCTGGTTTTATTTTATTTCTTAAGTCTCGTTCAGATATGAAATGGTAAACCCGGGCCCTTCTTAAAAAGGGTTGATCCAAATCGACCCCCTCCAATCAATTGTAAGTTTGCAGTCTCCTATCTCTTATGTACATACTTGCAATTTATATTAATGGCAAATAAGTTGCGATTGATATCAACTCTCTATAAGACAGAGGCCATGGTGGTTAAAAATAATGACGTGATTGTAATATGCATCACATTTTTGTATTGTATAACACAGAGCTCAAGGACTCTTGTTGCCATTCATTTTCACGTAAGAAAAACCGTTTTGGTTAACCTAAAGAGGCACATAGCATTTGATGTCCATAGGGGCTCGGTGATAAAATGATCTATATCCTGGACAATTAGGAGGTCATGGTCTTTTTTTTTCTTTCCCCGTTGAGGTCCAGATAAGTTATTTTCTCCACAGAAGCCTTCAGTTTTCTTAGAAAGAAAAAAAGTATGTGTGATTGTTGGATTTTATATCTGTGGTATCCCTTCAATGATCATGCTCAATTTAAAAGAAATAGCCCCTCCATGCATCTCAGAACAGCTACTAAATAAATTAGTCCATGGTTAAAGTTTATGGATATTTTAGGGTGGCGTCTTTAGGTTTTAAGATCAAGAACTTAAGAGTTATGCTTGAAGGTATTCCCTGAGTAAAGTTAATTTGATATGAACTCATTCTCTTCCTTAAAATCATGCATAATAAATTTCTAATAACACATTTTCTTTACTTTTTCAAACTTGTCATTTGGTAGAAGAATTGAAAGCCATGATTGGAATCATGTCGAATCATCTAAGAATATATTCTTATGTTCATTTATATTTTTTGTTTCCATCATACATATATAACCCTCTCTCTCTCTCTCTCTCTCTCTCTCATTTGTTTGCAATCACAGGGCAGGATAGTAGAGTGTGTACACTGTGGATGCAGGGGATGTTCAGGCTGAGACCACGGACAGTTGCAATGTAATGCAGTGGTATGGACTAGTAGTAAAATGGATTCCAGATAGCTTCAGAACTACAAGAGAGAGAGAGTTCATGGTCCGTGGTTTTGTTATGGAAGGCCATTGTTTTTCCCCTCTCACATGCTTATTTGTATGTTTGGAAATGGTTCCCAAAGTAATATCTTTTGGATCAACAGTTGTTCCTTTAATAGGATGCAGACTGTCATGTGGTGGAAATATATTTTTAAAAGAATAACCCATCTTTAATGTTTACTTCATTCATTTTTAAATCGTTGAAATAGATTTATCTTCGTTTATAGGAAACAAGACAATCTTTTGAATGACATTATTTATTTTTTCCTAATTATACTACCTGTTTTTCTTGTTGCTTCTCTTTTATTTTTATGACAATTCAGTTGATAATTCACTGGTCATCATGCCTACAACACTGTTCATCAAAATTATACCAGTTGATATTTATCCCTTGTTTTATCATTATGTGAGGTGTTGCCTACAATACAGAGAGAATTTTCCAAATGCTAGATATGTGTCTCATTTTACTGCAATATTCATATGCCTCTTATCTTATTGATTCATTATGTAGTTTTGGGAAGTGTAGGATTCACTTTTTAAAATCTTCTGCTATGTTCAGAATTCAAAGGCATCTTCTTTTTTTTACTGTACATTTGTAGACCGATATTTAATGGCTGGTTTATTAGTGATGATAAAACTAGTCTTTGTAGAAAAGACATTGTGTCCAAGATAATCCAAGCTGAAGGCTAATTAGCACAAGTCATTGAGCACCATACATATTCTACAAATGGACCAATTTTCTTGTTATCATCCTTAATTTGTGACCAGCCCTTTCAACGGACCAAGACAGAATGTTGAATCTATTACAAATGATTGTGATTGTGATTATTACAATCACACATATATATATATATTTTTTAAATTGTGGGAAAGAATGGCTATCAAAATTGCACAATGATGTTGATTCTTCTCATATCTTAGTCATACCAGTAAAAAAAACTCCATACCGACTCCTAATTTACAAATTCTTGGCCATGGGAAGCAATGTAATCTAAGAAGTCTATGAATCTATAAAGATGCATCTGATCAAAATACAAATTGCCAACTCATCGATTTAGTTTCTTGGCCTCACACTCTATCTCTCTCACTTTCTTCTTTATCGTAATCGTTTCCGAACAGTCTCTCCCATTTAACCATAATCCAGTCGCGTCGCTGTATGTGTAAATAATTTTGTGAATAAAGCATTTTGAATTTGTACAACAATTTGTTATTATCCTGATTTGAGTTGTAATCGGCTTATCTTGTATCGATTGAATTCAAAGCTAAGTTTGAGTTTTGATGATGGTATTGAATTTAGAGAGAACCTGGTTTAAATCGATACTTAAATATTTATCATGCAGTAGATACAAATGTAGATGGTATAGATCAGTTACAGTAGGTGTAAACTGTAAACGAACAATAACTTCTCCAAATCACATTCACTGAAACCGTTGTTTACGACTCCTTCCAGTTTTTAAATCTATGTTTGGTAATTACCCGGCGATGAAACATTTTCTATCAAAATTGTTTGTAAGATATCCTTTTCCCACACAAGAATGATTCCTAGTGTCAGATAACTACAACAAAAAGAGACAGAACACGGATAAATACGGTTTATTGTACAGCTTTTTAATTTTTCATCCTTTCTGAGAAAGTTCATCTACATAAGTATGTTCTCACATTGACTAAATTTTCATATACACATAGAAAGAGGAAAAAAGGACTACTTTAATAACAGACATCTACAAACATTTACAATTCATGGAACAGTTATGATATAAAACAATTATTGTGCAACAAGATGCATATATCATATAATCACATCACATTCTTCTTGTGAGAAAAAAGGGAACAAATATTAATACTCTTATAAAAGGATAAGGAAAACGCCCCATTCCTTGATTGAATTCATTATAAATCTTTTCTCTTTCCCAAAACTGATGTTTAAAAAAAAAAATTGACTTTTACCACAGGAATATATTAGTTCTATCAATTAAATTATATTCAACAGACGAGAAAACGACACTCAAAATTTATTTTCTGGGATGTGATTTTGTACATGGATTTTGCAATATACTTACAAGAGCACAAATATATAGTGGAACTTGATACTATCCGTCCTCACACGACACGTACTTCCATCTTTTGTATGAAAAAAGAAATGTACATATGAATGAAATGAAATAATCAGGATTATCTTTCTCTTTGAACACATCAAATTTGTCTAAAGTTTCATGCTTAACACATTGAATACCAGATGATTTTTCTAACTAGATGAATCTACAGGTCTATGAACAGTCTGGTATTTAATGGATTAAAGCTGGTATATTTGAGAAAGATAAGCCTCATTATGTAGAGTACAATGTAATACCATATAAAATATAAATGTACACAGTTTTGTATTATCATTGTCTTTTGAGAATGGCGGTGATGATGACGATGGTGGTGGTAGTGATGGTGACATGGAAGTACAAAACGTTCTCTCACTTTAAATATCTTCAAAATTTTAAAAATCCTAGCATTGAATTTCAGTCAACATCCTGATTAAATACTTTGAAAAATTTAAAGAGAAAAAAAATAATACAAAGACAAAAATCACTACAAATCAAACTAGATCTTAAAATGCCACAAAAACCAATCAATGAGAATCGATAGATGATATATCTAAGATAACAAAGGAAAGAAATTTGTGCATCTAAGAACTCATCAATCTCATCTTTGCAGACATACACAATTCAATCCTTTTATTCATTCACTTAAATTTAAACAGATAACCTCTTATGCTTTCTGCGACATGAGCTGCAATACCTTTCAAGCCAAATAATGCCAACCATCTGCTACAATTTGTGTTAAACTCCCCGAAAGAATTGATAAAAAATAACAAAGTTTTCAGAAACAGAATTCTCCTTTCAAGCATGATATAAACATTTACACACTCGAATCTACAACATTTAGATAATGACGCACATTCCTGGTCGGTAGCAACCATTTCTTGCAATGTCAACAATGACATAGAAATAATAGTCTTTCACACCCACAGAGGAAGCAGCAACTGCTTGTATTATATGGTACTTCTCATGTTACCATTATACAGAACATATGAAGTGAACAGAATAGGACTAAAACTGAACCAAAAGCGCTGCGAATGCCCTATTCATAGTGTATACACCCAATGCTCTGTATGGGAATTACACGCCTAATGAAGTAGGCAAGGGATTCCGATAGAAGGATGAAGAAATCAGAAAATACTGATTGCATGGTTTATGATAAGACAGAGGGAATGCAAATGAATATATATATGAGCGCCGGATGGACACAATTGCAAGCTCATTCATCAAGCCAAGTTTCATCATACACATAGACCCATATGAAAGGAAAGGATAGGAATATAATACCAACTCCCATTGGATAAATGATCTCTCTTAGACTTTATATCACATTTTAAATAAGTTTCACGCTGTATCATTGTTTGGCACCTACATTAACTTGCATTCTAAGTCTCGAGACTTTAATAATATTGGTCTCCTTTGTGGTAGACAAAAGACAATCTGAAATTCTTCCCCCAAGCTAAAAAAAAAAAATGGAGAAAAAAATATATTTACTTCTCATGAAAGTATTTCATAATTCCATTCTATTCCTTCAGCATATTGAGAGAGACACAAACATGCAAACCATATAATACGCTACAGCTATAATATACACACACATCATGTCAAATTAAATTTATTGATAGAGGCAGAGAGACTTGATGAATCAAAAAGCATCTGATTAATTTTTGCCACAAATACCATAAACATTGAGCACCTATATTAACTAACAGATTTCATTAGGAAATGTAAATTTGTGAATGAATCCATGTCCAAACAATTCAATATTTGATAACATAATCAGATAGTATCATTCATAAATGACAAAATAATAATTAATTCAGGACCTGCTTCTGACAAATTTCAAAAGAGAGATATTCTTAATAAGTGAATTAGACAACGACACCCATTAGAAACAGATTCAAACACGACAATGCTAGTGTGAAAGTGAAGATCAGATATAGAAATGTGTATGTATTTGGTGAAAGCTGACATACTTTTAGGACCATCAAACCTCTCATCTCTTTCTCTCATCACTCACTCATGCTCTGAGCGGAAGCCTCTGTGATTTATTTACAGACTTATAAAATGCTTGGACAATCAGGACAGTCAGAACCCCTTCTGGTTTCTACCACAATATGACAGCTAATGGCGATTTCAATATCCATAACCAGTACATTGGACTTGGATCAATAGTGGTTTAATATGATCAATTGATTCATTCGTATGGGAGATGTAAAATTTTCAACAATACAAATAAATCTAATCGATGAGCAAACTTACGCCTTTGGGGGAGGGGCTGTAAATAACTCCATTTATTCTTCTTTTATATCATTTCTGTTTTTAATGATTAGAAAATTCCAAAGAATATTTTGAATGAGTAAGTATTTATCGAAAGAGGGTAATATTTATGTTTATTAACATTCCATAAGATATGAGATAATAAATAAATAAATAAATAGACATTTGAAAACCAGCCCTACTTCCCCCCCCCCCCCCCCCTCCCCATGATTCTATACAGAAAATGATGAATGCAGTGTATATGTGTAGCATTATTTGACTATATAGAAACATTCAAAATAAAATAAATGAGACTTTAGATGGATATTTATTACAATAAATTGATTGCAGTTTAAATGGTGGCCAGCCACTTCCATTACGTGATGAAAAAAAAAAGTTCACGCATTCATAAATGAAAAACGCCTCTCGGAACTAAAAAAATGACGTGAAAATTATGCATCGTGTATAAAAACTTGATGGGTATAGCCTATGTCACACTTCACATCGATTTCATATGCACAGAAAAAGTTGCGTTCTTTCATAACACGTTTTAGAGCTGTACATGGCTTAAATTGTATTAAGCAACATTCGAGGTTAAGCTTGTACGTGAATGTGAACGACAGAAACCTACATCACTTTCACAGAGACATCTGATGTTGGACACACTTGTAACATCTGAGGACATAGTGCCGTGAAACAGCGTAAGAGTACTTCACATAGTTGTGCTGTGCAAGTCCATCATCCAGATAGTACATTACTGATATCAACCATCATATAGTGAAATGTACACCACATTAAAGAATTGCTGACAAACAGGTTTACTCCATTAAAGAGGATAGACTCATTCATATTACAGAATTATTTATCATACCTACACCTCACAATGCTACATACACGCTCGTGTTTAAACTTGGAACGACTCAGTACAAGCAGGCTTTTTTAATTGCCATTGGTGCTGAATTTACGGTGCTAAAGTTTCTTAAGTTGTGGGATACCATATTCTCGGGAAGAATCATATCGTCCACTGAGGGGCAGAAGGGGTGTCAACTTGTATCACTTCATATAATGCCTTTCTAGGTCTAAGCAAAAAATCTTACCTCTGAAAAAAGAACTACCATGTTATCACCCATGGACGGCATTAAGCATGTGATATACAGGGGCTATATCTGAGCTTAATTTCACTTGCATTTGGGCATTACACTACTCCTGTGATGGATGTCGATAATAACGAAAACAAAACGATGGGGTGCCAATCTTTTTAACTGATAACATCTCTCTAACATTCCGACTAATATCCAGCAAAAGTTTTAAATATTTATTTTCCCGACATAACAGATTTTTATTTCCTACTACTAATGATTAAGCTGAAGCACATTCACAAACCAAACAACACTATCCTTTGGCATTCCATTATAATGTAATAAAGGTGAACAGTCAAACCTGCTTTAGTGACCACCCATCTACAAAGACCACCTGTCTATATGGACCACTTTTTGTGTTTCCCTTGTCCGGTTGCTATAGACAGGTTTGACTGTATCACATAATGACATTCCCAACCCTTCAGGGGATTTCCTTTGTTCGCTTTTCATAACACAGTCAACAAGCAGTCCTGGCTATCATATGTTTTCCAATAACATCACATGGTCAAACTATCATGACAAGAACAGTAAACAGAACATCCTTACGCGTCGCTACAAAGAATAACGGACAATTACATTTCATTTCTGCTTGTACAAGACTCAAGCATGCTCACAAAGTTGTTTATAAATACTAAATTAAAATCACTAATTTAGTAAAAATGTTGATATCTCATAGGTGTAAAAGCAACGAAGTGTCTCTTTTCTTGCACTGTGGAATCAGTCCGTTATTTGTTTAGGATTTGCTGTCGAACTCCCCATATTTAGGATGAAACAAAGAGGCAAATTGGATAATTTCAACCAATTCAGGTAAGCTGGAATGTCTATATTCTAAGAGTTTGAATTGCCCTTTTCAATAATTCAGGGTTAGTTTCAACTGCCCATTTTTAAGTTACAAAATCAAAGGTATACATGCAAGTTGAATAACATGCACTTCATGCCGCAGAGATTCATTTCATTGGCTGGTCATTTTCTTTAACCCTACTCCATATTTTCTTTCAAAAAGAAAGCAAATTAACTTGGCATCCCAACACAGACAGATTCTACAGCGAGACATGAGGCCTTTTAACTGTAGCAGAGATGAGAGTTGGAAAGTGCTTTCAAAGTTGAGTCTTGTTCTGTGCAAGTCCACCATTCTAACCACACGTCTGTGTCAATAACCACTACTTGGCAACAGTCTTATGTAACTTACTACCGGGAATCCGGCTGTGAGTCACACACTCGACCCGACCCCACCATGACAGACTGACAGAATTTGACCAACCGTGCTATGTATGTGTATGCATTTTCTCTATACACTGATATTAAAACATGTCGAACAGTATTTTTTTAAGAACCACTCGCAGTTTGTTAGTGAAACCCAGCCTCTAATGAACAAGGAAAACAACATTTCAGTTAAGAAAATCCTCTATTTCGTTCGATACCTCCTTGCATCGATATCAGCGAACTCTATTCCACACGTTTGTTTCTTCTATGCTAGACTGCAAATCCTATGAGTGATCGTCAAATTTGGTTATCGTGGTCCACTCTTCCATCAGTTAGTGGTATACTAGCAATATGGTAAAGGAGTTAGCTCCAGCAGAATCCAAATAAACTCCTCCATTCAATCACAAAAGTCTTTGTGGGATAAGAATAAGAGTCATTTGTTAAATAAACACTAGTAGTGCTCTGACTGCCATGCTATTCAGGCATTAGCATTTAAACAATATCAGAAGCGCAGGCCTAACAACAGCCTGAACTAGAGGCATAAGAATTAAGATCAGCTCTGAAGCACGATTCAGACTCTACAACCTGCCACTACCAAGGCATACAATCCTGAGACCATCTCTAAGTCTGTCCTGCATTAGTGCTATCCTTGTTCTAAAAAAACTTGGGAGTGAAACTATAAAAACAACCCTATTATCTTAAGAAATGTGAATTAGCTACATGGGTCACACAATCAAGTAACCTGCTGAATATAGAACATGTTGCTTGATGACGTGCCATTCTATGAAGCAGTCTCAGTTAAGTGGAGTTCATGCTGCATATTCAACGGGGTAGGTACGGCGGATCCCATCTGGCTCAGGCAACTCTATTGCAACAAGTCATTGGCGGCCTTGGATCCGGAGGGTTGGCCCATCTCCATGACAACGCTGTGAGCGCATCTCGTCATCACATCACCTTATGACCAACGCTTCCTTCTTCTCTATCTCTCCTTTAAAATATCTTGTGTGTTTTCATTTAAACATTTATGTACAGCATCGTGTCCTTTTTCACTTGCGTATGTAACGTGACGACGACGTTCTTGCAGCGCCCTCGTCGGCTGACTTCATGCCAGTACTGGTGGCACCATTGAAAGCAGAGTACGGAGTCGCGAGACGGCCATAGTCTCCACGTTGAACCGGGTCCGAACTAGGAGGTCCTGTGGCCAGACCTCGCACCAGGCGCCGGTTGTTGGTGCGCTGCTGCTCAGCGCGGGAAACTGGACGGGGAGATGTGGCTATACAAAGAAAATGAGAGAAAGAAAACAAACGATCAATTACATGGCCACTGATATTTCTATATATCCAACTGCAACTGAATAAAGGCACAAAAACTATTAAATGAATATATAACAAAAAAAAACGAGATATTACTTCTTCTTGTCCATCACCGTACACTGACTTGACTTTACATACATGAGAGATTTCAAATATGTCCATAATGAGTGTCCCCTGCCCTCTTTTTGTTATAGAAAAGGAAACTGAAAACTACCATGCAAAATAACAAGATAATTAGTACAAGCAGCCACTGACTTGAACAAATAATGAGTACAAAAACACTGGATGATACCAAAGTGAAAAGTTAACGATAAAAAGAAAAACAGATTCCAATTGCAAACCAGACTTTTCCCCAGGTCTTTTTTTTTCAAGAACAGTTCTTGGAATATGTTTTCAACATACATGTTTGAAATAGACATTTGTTTCAAAGACAGAAAGAATAATCAATAGTGACAAGAGAGTGAAAGAGGTGACATAGAATAGATGTTTTGATTGATTAGTTCTGAATGCAAAGAACAAAGAATTTTTAAACAAGATTATTTGAAATGAATAATGACAAGATATGTAGAACTGATAAAATGAAAGCTTCTTCACAAGCACAATTTTTGGACTATGCTACTATTGCTTCCTCAATAACAACAACTAAGATAGACAATCCCAACGAATTTACTGCAGCCAATTAAGGGAACGTATAAAAGAACAGTGCAACATCTTCTCCTACATCTCACTAAAAAAGCATGCTAAGATGAAGGGTGACTACCGAAGCTGGCACTAATCCCCTCTTCTAGGAAAAACTAACTTCAAATGCAATCAACAGGTTTGACATTAAAAGCAACCACCATGCCCCAAACAACAACATAAAGACTACTCAATGAGCTTGTTTGAGCCATCATACCCTAAGACAAGGAAAGGAAAAAGCAACACTGACGGCAAATCAACTGGAGCATGCCACCTGCCTACCTATCTGGCTTGTGTGCTGCGCCGAGGTGGTTGGCCAGGCTGTATACCTAACGGCACAGAGGGCCTAGCTGGCCCCCTGGTCACGGGAGTAGCCCCACCCCCCGAGATAGAGGTGGATGGACCACCGCCCACTATTGCATCCCCCATCAGGCCCGTCTTGTTTCGGGCGCTACGCCCTGTTTTGGAGGACCCTACTGATGGCACCGCCCGACCCAGGCTGGAATCTACTCTTGCGAAAAGTCAGAATAGCAATTTTGTGGGGGTGGGGGGAGGGAGGTGGGTATTCAATTATTGTATCAACCGCATTAATGGTTTCCACAGGAAAGTAAGAAGGATTTGGCAGAAAGGGCAAGTGTGTGGCGAGCAATGAAAAGAAATGGGACGATTTAGATTTTTAAAATTATTAAAGAAATTGGAAGTTGTGGAGATGATGAAAGGGAAAGAAAAAGAAAAGATGTGTGAGCAAGTTAAGCTGTGATACAATCAGTAATAATAGTCATGGTAATTAGAGCTGTCATGAATAGATGCATGAGATACAAGCATACAAAAGAGCATGAGAGGAACATGTAAATGATTTAATATTCCAGAACTTTAAAAGAAACAAAAATCTTCCAATTTTAAAATCACGAAAGGTGTCATTTTGTGAAAATTTGAAATTAGTCCAATTTTGTTGTGCTATGTGTTAGAAGCAAGCAGCCATAGAATTAAAGCAAAATTAAATGTGTCGAAAATAATTTTCTAAAATTTAAACTTGAATATATTTCTTGTTTACCTATAGCTTAAACTGATAACTTAGTGCAGCAACCTTGTAATTTTTCATCTAAAGGATTCTAAGGTCTTTCCACCTAAATACAGAAATTAATTTGAAGATGGTTTGCATTGAAAATAAATGTAACAACAGTAACATACTCACTCACCATGGAAACCTACAGAGAACAACAAAATATTACAAAAAAATAAATAGAATGCATTCATATGAACCCTAACCCATCACACACCATGAAATGTTATCTCCCCAAAATACACCCACCAGGAATAGCAAATGCAAGTAATTATAAACCAAAGAACTTGTGGTTTGTGCAGTTGCCTACATGTCATACACATGTAGTTATTGTGGTTAAAAAGGTTCTTCTGCAGAGAACATACATTACAATCAGTGTTATATAGTGCCATCCTTAGGCAAACGTCATAGAAAGTGTAATTGTTTTTTATTCTTTTAAATGGACAGCAAAATTGGTGTAATATGCAGAATGGCTGTGCTTCTAAAACCTGGTTCAGACAAGATATGTTAAACTGCCTCAAAAATTGCACCAGCAAATTAATGGGGAAATCCACCCTGATATTTAGAGTTGGTTTTAATAGAAGCAGAAAATGAGAGGAGAAGGTCATTGAAAGTTTGAGTAAAATCTGAATAAAAATAAGAGAGTTATATATTTTGAAGTTATGAATCAAACACAAATTGGCAACTCTGCGACATTGGGCAAGGTCAACTCCCATTTGCTCTGTAAACAAAATAAAAATGTCTAATTTTCCTTTAAGAAAATTTTCAATCATAAATGCACCCTAAATGTAATCATTGCAAATATCTGTTTATACTACTCCTGTATCAAACACTTTTGTTCTGTCTTCAATAATTAAGAAAATGAAAGTTCATGAAATTTCTGTAAAGAGCTAATTGGAGAGGATATCGCAAGATAGCTAATGACAACTTTAAAAATTCATAACTTTATTTTTAATTGGAATTTGCTCAAACTTTCACAAACCTCTACTCTCATTTTTCTGCTTATATTTAAACCAACTTAATATCAGGATGGACTTCCCCTTAAACAACATTTAATTTGTAAATGAATGGCAAGGGGCATCAGAAAAGAGAAGTTGCGGGCAAAACAACGGCCCCCTACACATATTAAAACAGAACAGAGACAAGCACTCTGCTGAAGTGGTGTTATTTCACCATGGTGCTTCTTTAAAGCCCGTCTGCACTAGTTTGGTCGGGGGATTAGACCTCCCTGCCAGGTCACTGACAGGTGGTTATCTCATCAAATCAGCTCTCAATTAACATAAGAAAAAGGGGATCATGGGGGACCAACAGGCACCGATTAGGCATTGTTTGCTGTATAGAGGGCGCAAGTAGCTAGTGCAGTGGGGCTTTAAGAGACAGTTTACCACATCAAGTATGAGTGAGGCTCAAGTAAGCGCGCGTTCAAACATCCTTACCTCCGACAGCCACCGGGTTGACGACTGCAGCCGGCTCCTGGTTTCTTAGCCGGACCGTGGCGGCGGTACCTGCTAGCGCCCTCGTTGTTGAGCTCCTGGGATGGTGGTGTCTCTCGTGTTCCTCTCTGTCTCTCCTCTCCGCCTCTTTCGTGGGGTGGGGTTTACCTCCCCTGCCTGGTACATCGCTCTAAACACAGACAAACATTTTAAATCGCGATCAGGAGTATGAATAAGGTTTTATAGGAATGAAAGGGTTGTGGTTTAAATTGTACTTGGTATAGAACCAAGAAACAGCTTCATGCCCCTGAAGCTTCAGACAGATCAAATCAGGGCCCCGTCTTATATAGAGTTACGATTGATCAAAATCGTAAGTCCTCCAATCAATCGCAAGTTTGCAGTCTCATATCTCTTATGTACATAGTTGCGATTGGTATCAACTCTTTATAAGACAGGATCCTGATCATATACAGTATAAAGAATACTTCTAGTTTTCAGCATCCCTCGGCGAGAATGATCAGCGAAACCCATGTCTTCTTGGAATCATGTGACATCACGAATGCCAGAAACCTAACCTTTGCCTACCCCCGGATACACAGGACAAGATCGTAATCCCATCAAGAGAGATCTTCAGCCTTAATACGATCACTCTGTTAGAAATAATCATCTGACCTTGTGTCAAGCCAAGTCCTTTAAATGGCTGACACAGTTGATTTTCAAGAAGCATTGTGAATGGATTTACTTAATGTCTTACAACATAATAAATGTGAATTCTCTGTGGCCCCTAGAATTGCCAGGGAACCGAGGCATGGGGAATCCCAGGAGGCTTAAAAAAAAACTGAACCACTTGCTAAATCTGGTAAGAAAATCATCTTACATGTCATGACAAGGAGTCTTCATGCTTCGAATTTTGATTTAAAAACAACAAACTTAATTAACCTAGTTCAGTGAGTGCTTTACAATGCACTTGACTGACATCTATAGTGGTTGGTTGTTCATTTTTATAATTATCTTAGATACACGATTTATAAATTTGGATGTAGATGAATTAAAATGCCTATTTGGCAATTTCTGTATTAAACCAATGAATGTCTACGTTCTTGTGGAGACAAGTTTTCTCTCTTTGAGATGCTTAAGATTTTGAGAAGGAAAAGGGAAACAACTCTGCTAAAAAGAGAGAGAGAGGGGGGGGGGGGGGGGAGGAATAGATTGAGAACGAGAAGTCAATTACAAATTTATAAAAAAAGAACACTTACAAATTTAAGCATGTTCCAGTCAAAGACATAGTCGTATGTGTAGCCTAATCGGTGGAAGAGATTGCGGAACAACTGTCTGAGAAAGGAGTAGTCAGGCTTCTCATCGAATCGCAGATTTCTTGTGTGGTTTAAATATGTGGCAAATTCGGCTGTGGGAATAAGCATATTCGAAATACAGTTTGAATATGGCGATATTGTATAAATATCGGAAGCACTTTTACAATACATTACACCATTTTGAAATTGACTTTTTAAAACTCATATTACAGAGATTCTACAAACGAAACAAAGGATGGCACACATCAATTTTCAAATCATCAAAATTGTAAGTAACTAATATACTAAAGCAATACTGAAAGTCTTCTATACAGTCCATTAAAACATGTCTAGCTTATATCACTTTAATGAAAATTCAAATTTGTATAAATGGATGTCTAGATGTGCACTGTTCAATTATGTGGTCATTAAAAACTTACTTTCCTAATTTTCATGTTCTGCATTACATGATATGCTTCATTCATTAGGGAGTAGCCCTTCTTTGTCAAAAGATCGGGCAAGTTTACCACCGCAATTCAAAAAGTAAGTGAATACTAGGTCATTGTGGGGTCATTGCAAATTCATTCTGTTGTCTCCCTCTTTTTTTTTCAGTTTCTCTTTCCCTCTCTCCTCCCCCTCTTTCACACTCCCCCTTTCTCTTTCTTTCTCTACCTTCTCTCTATCATTCATTCTATCTCTCACTCTCATCTCTTTTCTCCCTTCTTTCTTTCACTTTCTCTCCCTTCTCTTTCTTTCCTTTTCTCTCCCTCTCTATTCCTCACCCTCCTTCTCTCATCCTCAACCCCCCTCTCTCTCTCCCTTGCATTCTATCTCACTCACTCACTCTCTCTCCCTCTCTTTCACCCTCACTCACTCACTCTCTCATCTGGATATGCCATCAGCTACTACGTGTCAGGGTTTGGAGCTCATCTTCTATTAGGAAGGATGCAACTGTTACTGACAAGAAATCAACTCTGCTTGAGTCACTGCCTCGGCTTCTTGCGGACAGATACCCGCGCTAATCCCTTAATTCATTGGTCTTTCAGAACTAGGAGTATGTTCTCATTGCAAACTATGTTACTCGGTTGATGTATCGCGACAGCCTCTTGGCTAAATCATGATGAACTATGTTATGCATGTGTAAGAATGTCGATCCCTGGCATTCCGCAATGTGTAATGTATGTGTTTTGTTCCTGCATTTGTATCAATTCCTTAGCCAATGAACAGCATAATCAGTATGATCACATGTATAATATGATTAAATTCCCATATCTAAACATCAATTTGTTTTCATCAGTAGATATAATCAGCTTCATATTTGTAATCCATGACCGACTTTACAACTTCTTTGCACTGTAAACAATTCATACATGTAGTTTAGCGTGTATGAACGATTGCTATCTTTCATTGACAACCAGGGAGACCAAATCAACGGGCTCTGTCTAGATTTGCTTCATCATTGGCCTTTGTCCAGATAACCTTTGCCAATGGCCTTTCATTTGTATTGATTCTCTACTTGTTCCCATAGCTGTGTGAGTCATACACCTCTCACCAATTCAGGGCTTATGGAATTTATCAACTCTCGAGCTATATTCATTCAAATAACCCTAATCATTTCAACAATACCCCAGTAGAATTTGGTTTATCTTAGAGAATATCCTACAGTTGGTGTACGTAAGTTTCAACTGCTGATGGAAACTGGAATCTAATTAAGAGAAGGAAGTGGATCACAATGTTTTGGTTCTATTGCGAAATGGAAAATGTGATGGCGAAAAACAGGATATCTGTAAGAATCTAGGCAATGGCCCAATCCTGCAAACTTTCATTCATGCACTGGTTAAACAAAATGATCTATTATGTATTTTTAGAGTACAGCTTCTTCATCAGTTATTATAGTTGAACAGCATGATCTAGTATAGACTTTCTAGAGTACAGATTCTCAACGAGTTATATTAATAGTACAGAGGTATCAATCATCACTAATTTTATGTTACAATAAAAAAGGGTTGATTCGCAAGAATTGTGTGTGAACAAAAGTGGAAATGAGGCATCATTCGAGTGGAAAATAATAAGGGTGTGTTCCTCGTTTGTGGTTTAGGACAGACTGAAGCACATGCACGTTTACTAAATTGTTTTCAACATAGTTCATGTCTCCCAAATTATGATTTTATCACTCACTAAGCAGTGACAGACTGGGTTGATTGACTTTAGAAGAAAAAAAGGAGAGTGATTGAAAACAGTATTATAGAGTGACACATCATCTTTTGTTCGCCAATTAGCAATTCTAATTCGGGTGTTCTCTCTCCGATTTCATGGAAGATAACGCCACTTAGTCTTTGTTCTCATACCCAGTTTTAAATGAATCCTTCCGACAGCAGACGAGCTTCCCTGACATCACCTAATTCCCTTCACAACCACAAGTTAAGCCTCCAATAAGGGCATGAACTGAACTAATCATCTTCCTTGAATGTACACATTTTTAAAGCAGAACTCCACAACTCCAACCCCCCCCCCCTCCAGTCCTCTACTCCAAGAAAGAAAAAATGCAATGTCATATTTTTCTCACCTCTTGCTGTGCCATACACAAAAGAGATCTCATGTGCCATATTGTATTTTTCTTTTAAAGTATGCATCATTATGCAAAAGCTTTTTAATTCTATTCATTATGTTACACCATAATACTAGAGTAATTTTACAGATCGAACACAGGGATTTCATTCCCGGATTTTTTTCGGAATTAACTATGCAACAGCATTGACACCTCGTCCCATTTTGTGACAAATTTGCACAAACATGGCACAAATAGTGGGGGGAAACGTGACAAAGTCTATAAATAATGATGTGTTGAGCCTTTAGGGCCAAAGACTAGTAGTTGAGCAAGGCAGGATTTACGTCGTACGGGCTGGGTTCTGACAAAAGGTGTTGTTTATTACTGCATCCCGTGGCAGTGATACCTTGTACCCATTTAGGGGGTATCCTGTTGTCAGGGTAGAGCATCTTCTCATGATTTGACATAATCAGTGACCACTGGTGCATGAGCACGCAAAGAGATGATCTAATGATAGTCAAGAGATGATTTACATTGATGCAAATCATCATTGTAATGAATACTAATCATAACAATTTCTATAATAATTTTTTTAGTGCACAACTATTGTCATATGATCCACTATACATGAACCATGCAACCATTGGTATACATTTCATGTGGCAAAAGATGCAGTGAAATGATAAAGTGATGGTACATAAGGTGCCATAGATTTCTGTTCAATTATTTCTTAAACAAGATTATTATTTATCTTTATTTTTATTTTTCTATTTATAAATTATATCATGTTTTGGGAATTGTTTTTTGGCTTGTCTAAAAGGAAGTACTGCTTTTCGTAAACTGCCATTCACTTGGTAAAAAGAATATTGATTGTATTCATACTATGCATTCAACCGCTGAATATGAAAGCCAGAAATATGACGGAGTTCATCAATTCAGTGAAATGCAAACAAAGCAATGTTGTTATGATCAGTCAATACTAATATAAAAATCACTCAAGTGTAGCTCATCAATAACTTGTGAAATGAATCCAATAGGCACATTGAGTGTATTATACATGTTATGCTGTTCTTCTTTGACTAACGTATTCTGAGAATGCTCTTGTTTAACAACCCTTTGCATGTTTTAGATGCAAAGAAACTTGTGTATATCAGTACATATTTCCGAGAGTTACTTGGCAACACTCAGGATTGCGCCCAAAAGATGTTCTTTTTTCTATTTCAAAAGCCTCTTTAGATGTCATTCATTTGTCAGTTTGACGTAACCGGGTAATTGTTCATTAACGGTTCTGGAAAGCAGCCAACGCGGATACATTCTACTTCCTCACAATGTTCCTTTCATCGTGTCAAGATATTTTCTAAAGTGTTATCTCTTTTACAAAAACCACAACAACAAATTTACAACCTTACTTAAGGCCTTCTTTAGGTTTAGAATTTGATACAACTTGGCTAAATTTGCCACAACTGGAAGATCATATGAAAAATGTCGCCCCTCACACTGAAGTTAAGAGTCCCTTCCTCTGCAAGAAGAGCAAGTGTTGTTTTATTGTTACCAATTTGGCACATGTTACAGACCCCCTTGCTATATTTGGACAGCTTTATTTCTAGCTGTTTTTTTCTATTAATAAATCACTCCTAGGTTTCTTCAGTTCAGGAGAAATGCATGCATTAGGTTCATTCGCACACAGAGCAATTAGTGAGATTTTAAATATATTTTCGGATCTGCAATCAGACTTGCCCCTTTGTTTGAGTGTGAACAGAAATATATCATCAATTAACAAGACTCTAATTCTGATTGAGATTGTACTATCCCCATGTCTTCTTGCGAATAACCACAAACATTTTGCTGTACGCTCAGTGCTACAACAATGGTAATTGGAGCGCTCTCTGCTAGGGTCTCCTGTTACAACTAAATTAACTGGAAAAAATATAACAAAATCAATTCTACTTATCTCAAATATGAATGGGTGCAGAGGAAGTGGGATATGAATCGTAACTCAAAACACATTTTCTCTGAGTGTGAATGGATCTTCTGTTGCATATATTCCATATTCTAAATTCACCTTTCCAGACACTAGACTTCAGACTTGAGTAATGATCTACAGCTAATTGTTATCTGGGTCCCTCCCCACCACTACTCACGTGAGTATCCTTTGCAGAGGACTTCAATGGGCGTCGACATCTTCTTCTCACTGATCTTCTCATACTTCTGTTTCTTGGTAGCCGCCTTCAGACCCTGCCAAGGTAAACTGCCTCGGTTGAAGTACATTAACATGTAGCCTAATGATTCCAGGTCATCTCTCCGACTTTGCTCTGTAAGGATAAGAAGACAGGATAGAGGGATTCATAAACAAACTGATAATATGAGTAGATAAGACAAAGTCAGATGTTCCATTTTCGAAGTAATAAGACTATGTGGGAAAGATGTTGTCTACACCAGATGACTGAAAACAAATTACGAATGACGTAAATTCCATCTAGAAATTGATAAAGATTTTTGGTCAGCCCTGAAAGAAAAAGCACAGAGTAGACATGTCAGCTATCTGGGTGAGAGATAGAAAAGCTGATTACAAAAGACATATGCTGTACCTGGTAACCTTTAATAGAAAATAATACAGGAATATCTCAAGGCAAATTCTGAATACAGTCTATTTAGTATGCTTTTACATAATAATTTTTCTGAAGAGGAGAATCTAGGGTTCCTACAACTTGTATGAAGGGGGAAAAAAATAGGACTGCTTTCTCCAAAATTGGAATAGTTGGCAGCTATAAAATGCAGTACAAATGCTCATGTGGGATTTCATTTCTACAGATAGACACATAACAATCATAGTGTACATGTACATGTATGAATATATAATTGAGATCTACACGTATATGATGTACTTGACTACATGTACACGTATATGATGTAGGATGACGTGTACATAATGAGAGCCATGGACTGTGACAATGAAAGAAAAGATGGAGTATAGAGCCATTAAGAATACACAGAAACATGGAAACAAAATCATTTATTCTGTGACTGATTTGGGGCAAAAGGTTTTGAACAAATGAACTTGCCAAGTACACAAATCACAAAGATTGGTGATAAATCCATGGACCTCAAGGAGCTATCAAAGACACAAAAGGAGCCTCTATTATCCACTGGGTGCTACATGTATGTTTTCATCACAGTATTAATCTACTTGTAGCAGTAGAAGGCCACCAAAATCTCACTCCCAATGATTCATCACATACTAGAATCAAGTTTCTTTCTTGCTTGAAATCCAATATTTATTTTCTTTGTCCTCCCGCAGCAGCATAAGTCTTGTAAAATTACTCATTTTGCTGTTTTTCAGTCATCTAAAAACATACAATGTTGATTGCCACGCGTGTCAATTGAAGTGAAAATGAACATGTCTGGTTTACATGTAAAAAAAAACCTGTGAAAATATCCAAAATGCTTACAAAAATTGTTGATCTCAGAGACGAGAAATATCTCTCTGTACCTGTAACTTTTATAACTCCTATACAGTTATTTTCTCCTCCTAAAGACTGCTATTAATAAGCCATTTGACTTTAAAGGAACCGACTCACATTCATAAATGATGGAGCAACCTGATAATAAATAAAGGGGGAATGAAATCTGCATGTCACATACATGTAGACATTTATTGTGTATGTCATAGATCTTAACTGCAAAAGTGTTGTAGAAGTAATGAAACAAACCAAAGCTAATCAGTTCATGGAAAATTCCCCTGCTCATTTGTAAAGTCATGACCATTCAAACTATGTAAACAGCACATCCTTGGTATTGTAATAACCTCCCTTTCAGAAATGTAAATGTAGTAATCACCTCTCGTAAATCAGAGATAAATTTCTGCACGCAAACAAAAATGGAGTTGAGGGACATGGCTTTGGCACAGACTTTGGAGTATGAATCATGAGCTAGACCTCTATTTCAGATGTGTATTTCCCCATTGGATTGCAGCATTTCCCCCATCAAAAAACAAGACAATAACACATCTGAAGTTCACAGTGCATACTACATGCAGCATTTGAACGATTGGAAATAGATGCAGAGAATGAAATATAAAAAAGTATTCGCCCTCTTTGATCTTTACTTTCCTCAACTGATAAACAATTTTTAAATCTCTTTTTCACTTTTCACTTTTTATAACTTATATTGTCGACGATTTCGAGAAACACAAAGCTCTGATGAAAATGTTGCAGTTTAGGCCCACCTAACTATTATGTGGGCATGAAAATACCAAATAAACTACAAATCAGACTAACAGTAACAGACTTGCTCAAGCTCAGGCTGAGGTGTACAGCAAATTATTACAAATTGCCTCCAATTTTTTTAAAACTTGCAATCTGCAGCTTAAAATCAGTGCCAAAACACTTGCAGCATAAAGCAGATGACAAGAAAATTCTCATGGATTTCTCACCTCAATATTTTTCAATATTGGCATTTACCTGACATGCAGGGAGCACATAGCCAACATGGAAACTGAACTTTTACATTCCCATTCTGGACACAGTAGCCATTTACATTTCATCGCACCCTTTTCCCTTCGTGTAAACATCATCATGTATGTATGTACCACTGCCAGTTAGCATGGACGAGAAGTCGCTCCGTCATTCATCACATCTAGTACTGGGTACATTATCAATCATAAAATAGATTCTTCTCTGACAATGGATTGAAGCCATGCCTGGCCTGGCTCAGTCAGAAAGCATCAGCCTGCGCCTCCCTTATCTTGGAGTCATCAATCATTTTTCGTGGAAGGTAGCACAGTTGTTATAATGTACACTATAAGAATGCAATCAAATTTAATAAGGCATGTAATTCATAATGTCTGATTGTACATGTAAGCAGACATTTTCCCAAGCTCTGTTCAATGCCATTATGTGCATGTTTTTGTTGCACTCATTATTTCACTAGAGCCTCCTGTACTACGCGAACAAAAATATGTCATCGTGAATTCCAGATTTATGTCAAATCAGCAATGGGAATTTTATTAACATTTATTTTACACTATTCTTTATGTTATAAAATAGGCCTGCATGTATTTAAATTTGACACAAATAAGAAATGATGGTGCAAAGAGCTTGGAAAGATACTTTGTAATGTATTTGAATTTGAAATGGAGGTATACACCTGCAAGTCTCGTCCTCTTTTCCCCTGATAGATTCTTCATTCTGGAATCCTGTATCAAAAGTATATACATTTAACACAAACAAAATGTATTTTACACGTCTGCTGTTATCACCAATTTGTTTGCGACCTGTGTTTCTACTTCTGGGTACACAAGGGCAAATCATTTCCCTTAATCATTTCCTTCCTACTTCCTAACCATCTAATACTCATCAGGGGTAAATTCTTTCTTGGTAAGACATCATCTACCAGAGAGCATGGACACCACCGATGCAATGCCCTTGCTGACTGTCAAATCATTGCTCAGGCATCTTGACTATCGCTCCTGAGAAAAGTATATGACCTATGGCTCGCCATTCAATGTTTATTATGCTTCCACAAGCACACTGATACATGTACAGGCCTCTTCTCTAGACAGAAACGTATAAGCTTACATAGGAGCCAGCCCCTCACTGCCGCCGTGCATCTATCGCAGTGGAGTGTGTAGAGAATCGCCCCTTTCCGTACCACATATCAAGCCATGCACATATCATCGAGAGAGAGAGAGAGAGTTTCGCTACAATACATGAAATACTGGAGCCTTGCCTACGATGCAGCATCATACTGCATTCAATAGATAGTCGCCACATTGTGTACATACATGTTCGTGTGCACACACTAAGGAGCTGATGAGAGATGGCTTTCATGATCCAAGGGAACAGACATTGCAACTGTCTTCTCATAAAAATTTCTTGTGAACTTCTTTGAATATATCGGAAAGAGACAGGGAGGGAGGGGATATCTAAAGCTGATTTATTTTCATTTTTTAAAGTATGCCCATATGTTCATCATATATGTAAATGGGTGTAAAATAACCTGATGTCCATATAGGCCTGCACATTTATTCCTTTACAATAATTAAATCCACAAAATATAGTAGGCCTACAGGATTTGCAGACCAGTAGGCCTACAATCCTACATGTCATGGGGACTAGATGAAGTGAAAGGTGGATTACTTGTAGCCCTGGAACACTCAACAAAGAGGTTGGGGGTCGTAAGATTTCAGAATCTGAATTCAATTTCAAAGAGATATCTACAACATGGATAGGGTGCAAATGGATACCCTAGGTTGAGTGGAGTTCAATATGAATCATATGAATGAATCATAATGGTGATCACTATCACCCTTCCTCTGAAAGGTAGCCCATACAACACCCCGATACTACACCCCGATACTATACCCCCTACCCGTAACTGCCCCTACCCCTCTGGTCCAAGGGGCATCCCCTTTAGGGTCAGATTGAAGTCTGGTAAGTCCCAGGGCTTTACTAGGAATGGAGAGATTAATGGTGTGAGGTCATGTCCTTTGGACCACTTATGTGATCAAGGGATTTAGATTGTGATTGTGGTCCAAGTAAATATGACCAAGGAAGGAACAGGACACTGGACAGAGTTCCTAAAGAAAATAAAGGTAGTCATTGGTTGCAGGTCCAATGACAAAGGGCGACTTACTATTATAAAAAAGAAGAGTAACTGCTGTAGATAAAATGTGCATGAATGTATTGAATGCTGAAAGATTAAAGCAGAAAGAATATATCACTTTGAAGTGTGTTAAAAGAAAATATAGCTCATTTGTAATACCGGGGCTTTCTACAACTGTTTGGAGAAAAAAGCGCATAACATTTGTCTGGACTTATGACTTCAGTATTACTAACTGTAAGCCTAAATTGAAAGTAACACATGCATGCTGGTATGTGTGAAGGTACATTTACCTGGACATTTACGTGGGTTGAGGCAACGTCATATTTCTAGGCCTGCAAAATGTCAGTCTATGGGCCTAAACTACCTTCAGATAAAATGCCAAGCATGTTACAAAAACAATAACTTAGGCCTATCTAGAAATTTCCCATTAAATGTCATTTATAGAAATAACCTTGCATCAATTTACATGGTAGAATTTAAAAAACATGAGCAGCAACTTCGTGGAAAAGTTGACAGGAAAGTGAATAAAAGCAAAACCATCTACAAAAGAATGTCAAAACCACCAAGGCTAATCACTCATAATTATGCAGGTTTTGAATCAACCACACTACGATATTGAATATTCATGGTTTAAACAAATTATTGGCATATGACTGAAAATAGTTGGCACCCTTTTTCTTTGAATAATGTATACACAAGGTGATTTAAATTCATGCGGTTGTTCTAACAGGCAGTGACTCGGCTGGCTCACCAGCTGTTCATGATGTACCCGTACACAGAGTGCTTTACATCATCTCATATATCAATACAAATTAGCATGAGCCTTGTGAGACATGGCCTTGTGATGACATGGAAGATAATCTAATGTTTACTAATCTGAAGATCTTTGAATTATCATTCATGACACATGTTGGATTGGGTGAAATGAGGTCAACAGTGTGATTGTTGCAGGTAATACTGACTGGTGGCAACGCTTGGTGAGTAACCCAAAACAGAAGCGCTCTTGAAGTGAAACAGAGTTCAGAGTGCAAGACTGTTAATGATTTTAATGATTATATGGACAGAAATCAACTGGGACATTCTTAGTAATAAACTTTAACTCAACATTCACATTCTGCTCCTCGCTTTATATTGTTTTGTGCGCTTGTTATCTGATTTGTATGTGCTTGAGTGCTTGTGTGTTTTTTGTTTGTTGGTGTTTTGCGAAGTTTGCATAATCCCCTTTTTGTATAGCTTTCAGCAATCGGATCTAGTTATAGTTATAGGGGGGAGGGGGTCGTTTGATTAATTATTTTTTTTGAAGGGGAAGGGGCCCACCTCCTGGACATGTGTGCCCATCACCACGAGAATGCCCACTGCCACTCATCACTTTTTAAACTTTTAACATTTACTATTGGTTTGTAACGTGCACTTTGCAATTTTGTTTGTATGTATCTATTTCAATAATTTATTTTGTATATCTTTAAATGTAACAAATGTGCAATTCAGCCTTTGGCTGCTAATCATTTGACGAATAAACTCTTTTTGAATTGAAAATCGAATTTGAATTACCTGTAAAAACAACATGGTTATCACAAAAGCGACATAACAAAACACAGACAAGAGGGCAACACTGTTTGAAGTACACTAGAGAATAACCATTCCTTTCCATTTACAATGTGACCTTGTATAACCATTTCTTGTTTAATAATACTGCCCTTTTTAAAACCAAATAGTATGCCACGTATTTTATTGCTTTTCAGAAAACCAAGAAACAAACCTATTATTCTGTAAACTGAAGTCAAGCACATCTGCCCATCGATGCAGAGCTCTTATTGTATTGTGTACAGCGCAGCCTATGTCATTTGGAGTGGTGCATTGGAAGTTTTAGCCAAATGTACATAAGCCAATAAGATTAATTGTCTTCAGAAGCAAACTATTAGGAAAAACATAAAACTGTAGACACACCACAAAAACTTGATTCCAATCAACTGAAACGCTTTCAATCTAAATCTAAAGGTACAGTAACGGATGATTAGGAATTTAACAACTCTGCCTCTTTTGTAATAAAGAAATCAAGCTTGCATTGCATTTAATTGCATCTAATGACCAGCATAACATGCATATCAGAACATTTTTTCTATAAGACTAGAAAGAGAAGTGGGAAATATCTTGAAATCTGTACACAATTAGAAAACAGATGATCCCTTCAATCAAACAGTAGAACAAAACCAATACCTAGTGTAGTAACAAAAGGTTGCATGAACTAATAACACCTTTCAAACTACTGTCAGCGAATTATGATAGAACAGAGGCCTAGATACAGTGTATGGACATGTATGATTCCTGTATTCATCCACCTCTCTCTTGAAAAAAATCAGACTCTCCAAATGACTGAGGTTTACCCCCTATCTTTGTTGTGACGCACCTGCTGGGTAAATCGAATCATAAACATCATCGGGTCACCTCACATCTAATGTTGGGATAGTGCCAGGCAGAAGGCGCGTCTTCATCATCTTGAGATTGCCAAATAGCCCGCTATTTGGGAAATAATCCCGAAGTAACAAATCACGTCTTCACTATCTCGAGATTGAAACTATCTTGAAACTCGACCTTGAGAAATTAGCTCGAGATATTTTGCTCAGCGTTAGCGTGTATTGCGAATATTCGGTCTAGTGAAGACGCATGGGACAAATAGCTGGATATTTTACCAAATAGTAGGATATTTTGCAAACTATCCCAAGATATCTTGGGATGACAATCCTGACCAAATATCCTTCTAATTGCTACTTCGGTCTGATGAAGACGCAAATTAGCAGGATAGTTTGCGATCGGGATAGTTCAAATAGCTGGATATTTGGCAATCTCGAGATAGTGAGGACAGGCCTAGAGAGAGAAAGAGCCAGGGAAAAGAATCAAGAGGCCTTGTCCAAGTACTTCAAAGAATTCCTAAAATGTGCTAAATGGTAGTTTACACTGACTGAACTTGGAGATTTTGCTCTTGTTCAAATTATGCCACTGCCTCTGATTATTCACATAGAGGAAGCACTCTTTAATCATTAACTTTTCTGCCTTGTTTACTTTATCATCGATAGAAGAAAGATGAGAATTACACATTCTCACTCATCCCCCTCCTCCAATACATAAAAAGAAGCAGTATCGTTTTAACTGTTCCAACTTTGGCAAGACATTGATCTTCATTTGCCACACTCAACCCAGGCGTTGTAAATGGGTACCTGGCAGGAATTCATTCCTTGAAATGCTAGAGCGCCGTAATGGCAGCCATGCTAAAGCCAGGGTAATAATCAGGAGTGCCAGTAGTGTGAAGTCTGACATATATGAGTGCTACAATATACAAGGCTCATTTTATTATTATTATTACCAGGAGACACGGACAACATACAGTGGCCCTACTTGTTGTGAATCAGGCGACCACAACACCACAGCAGAAGGCATATCATTCAAACTCCTAGTCCCACTCATTTGCTTCTGAGACCACAACATATGACATATCATTCAAAGCTACCGAGACCTGGTAGATCTCCTTTGTTTAACCCATGGACCATGTTTATAATACGATGGCATGTACGAACATGAATCAATCATGCACAGTACATGATTGACCTAAATGTAAACACCAGAATCCATTTTGAAGATCAACAAATGGTTCTTTACCGTAATTTTGGATCTATTTTTCTGCAAATTCCTTGTGGATCATAATGATATGTAAAACAATGCCTTTACCCAAGTCGCACCAAGGAGACTGACACCATCGCAGCATTTCACAAACTGTCACAATTACAAGTTCGCCGACAACCCATTGAAACGTTTGTATTAAATTGACCATGAGTTTCAATGGGATGTCAGTAAACTTGTAGTTATGACGGTTCCTGAAATGATGCCCTGATACTTGTAGGCAATAGACCAAACAAAAAAAACGATGTCATTCTGAATGGCCAAGACTTTGTCGGTTATCGATAATTTTTGAGTTGATTTGGCAATGTGACCCAGGTACTAGACAAAGACTGGACAAGGCATTGAATTGGCACAGTGTTGGTGCTACCCTAATCTGAGTGCTAGGTGGACTCGTACCAAACTACTGTCATCGCTATCATCTGTCAGCTGGCTGTACGGTCTGGTAGGACAGACACACAGATAGCATTCATACAGACAGACAGACGCATCTGTTGGATCCATTTTGATGATCAGCGTTTTCTCCCAGCTTCCTATCTTGTGTGCTGGCCCATGCCAAATAATTACCTGGTACTAAATGATTCTACAGCTGCACAGATTCAGTGAGACAGGAGCTGTGTTACAATGAACTGGCCTTTTCCCAATGGCTAAAATTAATTTGTTTGGCTTTCAATGAAGTAAACATTGAAAACCAGTTTTGAAACAAGAGAGTGTTATTTTGTACTATCCAAATTGTAGGTAATTTTTCTCTGGAAATAACCGGTAGGTCAGGACAAAACGAGCCATGTGCACATCATTACATGTATGTTGTATTGGTGTACAACGTACACATTCACATTACTGCTCGCCACACCCTACCCCCCCCCCACCCCCCCCCCAAAAAAAAAAAACTATGCATACAGGTACGACCTGTGCAGATACACATGTAAATGCACTTTAAGGGTGTTTTTTCCCCCTTGAAAAGGCTTTCAAATAGAATACACTTCCAATTTGAGATGCACAGGCACATCCATTGCACAAGTTTCTTTGTAGATTTGAGATCTAATGGACTCCCCAAAGGATTGATTTTCAGCTTGACATTTGAAAGTAAAACTGGGCCGAGAGAGAGAGAGAGAGAGATAGAGTTTACTGCTAGAATTCAGCCGTTTACCAGACAAATCAAAGACAGCTTGGCAGGTGTTGGATGTAGGCGAAAAGTCAGGGTCAAGTATGCAGCTTTTGATTTCAAGAAAATCTCCACAGAGAGGGGAGAGAGGAGAGGTTGCTGGGGTAAGGGTTGTGTGTGTGTGTGGCAGGCATTGCTTGAGCTCCGTGGTTGTGAAAAAAACACTAAGACAATACCATGGGCTGCCACACACAGAGAGCAATATTACGATTGATATTACTCTATTTATCCAAAGTAAGCTCTCTTTGAAGTAAAAATCAATTTCTGTAGCTTCACGCATCAGCCTCCATTTCGCAATACCGGTAAGCCCCAAAAGAAACTAGCATTGTCAACCTCCTTTCTCAGTGGTTATGGTTATGGTGCTATTGTATTTCATATGAATTCATGAAATATCTGGCGTAGTAACAAGGATGTTAAGGAGTCATACAATATGACAGTGAAGTTGACCTAAATCCATATGTTTTCATGAAATTTACAATTTTTTTATAATTCATAGGAGAAACCTACACCCCCCCTTACTTACAATAGGTGGCAATTCCTTTGATAGAAGGATCTCTACAATGGGTCAGCAAAATTTCTGCAGAGTACTGCTCAAAGCTAATACAGTGCAAACAATACAAAACAAGCATGCACAATACTTGGATACAGTATTTTTTTAACAACTATAAACTCTGTATCATAAATCCTGCACAATGAAAACTCAGACTACTAGTATTCCAGCACTTACCGATTCCTAAGTGAGTATTGATGCTTGCATATCTGGCAGTTCCCGTGAGGTTCTTGTTCTCCCTGTAGGCTATGTGTAGTTTGGTCCGAGGGTCCTTATACCTCTTGGCGAGACCAAAGTCTATGATGTACACCATGTTACCCTTCTTGCCCAGCCCCATGAGGAAGTTGTCTGGTTTGATGTCTCTGTGGATGAAGTTCTTACTGTGGACATACTCTATCCGACTTATCTGTATTGGAAGGAAACACGAAAGAATGATAATGCTTTTTATCATTTCAAAAGAAATTGAAAAGGGGAATATTTTCCTCATGTGTTATACCTAAGAGAATATCAACAAGCTTGGCACGAGAAAATACAAAATAGAATAAAGTGGAAGTAATGAAAGCATCAAAGATGAAATTAATGAATTGAATTGAATTGTTAATAAAATCAATCTTTTATAGGGTATATTGGTAAGGCGGCTCGATGCCCTTGATGGTGATGATGATGGATTCTCACAAAATTAAATTCTTCATGTTATAAATGTACCTTCATTAATAACTTGTATATTTTCATTGATTTCTGACTTGTCATTCATGATATTTTGTGGGTGTAAACTACCTTATGATATCAATGAAAATAATAAAACATACATCTCTACCTCATGACAAACTTTTTCTTAACTGTAATCTGTCTATAAAATTGCTGTAGGGGGGGTGGGGGGGGTGGGGGGGGGGGGGGGGGGGGGGGGGGGGGGTGGGGGGGGGGGGGGGGGGGGGGGGGGGTAAAAAATGAATAACAGTTAAACAAAAAATAGAATAAAAATAAATTGATATAAGCTTGATGTGTAGGCCTTGAATATCAATAGGAACAATTCTCTATTAGAATAATCACTAAGAACAAACACATCCATCTTCATTAAAAATACAATTTTCAACAGCAGCAGTTTTGTTCAAATGATGGACATGGCAACAGTATATTGTCTGTTTTCAATCATGTACATGTAGGTGACCTGATGGTTGCTAAGATGGACACCTCCTCAAAACAATGATAGCGCAAAAAACCAACACTTGTCCTCAAACACTGGCCATGTACATATAACACAAGGCACTGCCCTGTTCCTTCGAACCTGCTTTGCATGACAAAGGCATAAAGAGGGAGAAAGTGTGGGCTGCCTGTTCAAGAAAGGTATGTAGCTGTTACAATGGTCCCACAGCTCTTGTTTACACTACACAAAAGACCTTTTACAGGATTCTGCTGGGCAAATGTAGTACCTAGTCGTCAAGTTTTAACCCCTTAAAAGTTACTCCATGTTACTCCCCATGTTACTCCATGTTACCCCATGTTACTCCATGTCACTGCAGCGCTTATTCTGTCCAACATAAAATCAGAATCTTTGATTGCATGGGCAGTTGAGGAACCTTCAATGCAAAACATACATTTATCAGAGGGAAACCTTACAAATAATGTTTACTAGCCTTATTTTCTGTGGTTACATGTATACCATATGGTCAGCCACTGTGGTCAATGATTCAAAGCAGAAATTGTTAAAAATCCGGAGCGATTATAAATATGATCTTTTTGGATCCAGCCGCTATAAAAAGCACAAATACTCCACTATACCAAATCAGTACCAACTATTTTGCTTTGTATAAACTTAAACTGCAAACGCCATTCCTAATGCCTTTCATTCCAAAACACAAATGTAATAGGCTAACATTCTCCACTCTCCAGACAGCAAGTATCTTGTATTTTTTTCTTCAAATAATCAAGCAATTTTCTCATAATTTCCAAGGAAATTTTCCCCCAAATGCATAGTTCCCCCCCCCCCCCCCCCCCCCCCCCCGCCCCGAGCTGGATCATAAGTATTTTAAGGGTCAGTCGAAGGCTCAAGCTAATTCTCAACGAGGTATTTGTCAAATATGGAAAATGAAAATAAATAAATAAATAAATAAGATTGCTAGGTTATCTCTGCATTTATACCAAGTCTACTGTTTTTCATGAAAGGTTTAAATTTTAAATCATAAACCAGTACTACTCTTTCCAGAGTCTGCGCGCTAAGACTACAAGCAGACAAGACAAAGAGGGTAATAGAAAATAAAACTGGGGGCTATGCAGCAGTTGCACATACATGGTTTTATTGAGAGAGACTGATCAAGTTCTAATGTTGATGTAATTTGAGTCAATGGGAATTCTCTCGTTACATATCCAAACACACACACAAAAATCCTCTTTAGAAATCAAGCATGCTTCAATGCTGGAAAATTAATGGAAAACGTCAAGATATTGATTTTTGTATATCAATGTACATGATAAAATCATAAAATTATTCTAACCACAGTAAATGTAGCTGATTGGAATTATTCTACCATATGCTTATTTTTCACATACAGCATTTTCTTCACACCTTATTGTGTTTCAGTGTAAATCCTTCCAAACCCAAAAAAAACATTTATTTAATTAATTGAAATATGCAGTATGAAGTGAAGTATTTTCAAAGGTGGTAAATATTACACGATTAACCAAGGCTGGTTGTGTTATCAAAGCAATAACAATTAAAGAATATGATCAGATGAAGAATGAAAAGTAAGTAATCTATTCAGTATCTTTGTAAACCTGTACTGTTGCCTCATGTAAAGAGAGTTAAAATTATACAGAGTCTTAATGAGTTGCTAAAGCTAGTGTAATAATTTCCAAAAGCTCTTTGGAAGCGCATAGGGACATTATAATGTGATATGCGCTATACAAGAACAGAATATTATTATTATTAAAAATCATGCAGCATGAAACTGATTCCCATCCAGGGAAGATAATTTTGTCACCATTGCTCTTTACACCACACCTACATGTAAACACCCACTACATGTATGTGGTCACAAGATGATGCTCATTGTGCCCTACATGTATATTAGTCCATCCTATAAATAGCTATGAGAAAGTGTGTCGAGGTATAGCAAGAAAAGGGAGATCGCTATGAGAGAGTGTGTCGAAGTATGGCAAGAAAAGGGAGATCGCTATGAGAGAGTGTGTCGAAGTATGGCAAGAAAAGTGAGATAGCCGTTGCATGTAAGTGAAACATTAACAATGGATCATCTCACTCTAGTGAATATGAATGGAAAGTGAGATAGCAGTCGTCATCCTCCTGAATAGAATCACATCACAAAAGGGCGTGCCCTGGTTTCAATTTACGAGGAGCAGTGATGCAAATTTTTTCTCCAAGAAGCTTAAAAATCATATTGTTATTCTGGGCAAATGTGTTATTTTTATCGTTGGTGTGATGTCATCTAAATAAAGTGTTACAGGAGGGTGTGTATCCAGATAAAAATATTTCTGTCAGATGAACATTGATTAAAATCCTTTTCTTTTTTAAATTTTGAAATATAAACATGCACATTACACAGCAAACTCTAAGCGACAGATTACCTATTTATAAACTCTATGCCATGGCATCATTTGCACCCTCATAAAGATTCTAAAAATTTAAGACAGAACAAAATAAGTACATCAATTTTGCTTGGATGCCCAGCAATAGGAATCTATGGCATATTATATGCACTCTATTCTACCAAATGTAAATTAGAAACGATGACCCCAAAAATTGAAACCTTGTTAAGGTTGCACTCATCTGATATCCCTTACCAATTGATCAGCCAATAGTAGCACTGTTTTTTAGTGAGAATTCCCTCGAGCAGAAATTGAAGAGATCCTCTAGACTTGGCCCCAATAGTTCCATAACCATTACGTTGTAGTCTCCTTCTGCTCCGCACCATTTCACTGTGGGAATACCAACTGTAAAGAGAAGAGAAAAGAAAAAGGAGAAAACATAATGAGAAATTAGCCAGAATTACTGCATGAGAGATAAAAAATCCTTATACAGTACATGCCATTTTGCCAATGAAAGCAAAATTTGTATACCGGTAACAATTTTTTTTTTTTTAATTATTGCAAATTTCATAACCAAGTATTCCATTTCTGCGATAAAGTTTTTTTCAATTTTGGTCTGTATGGGAACAAATAATAACTGACAAGATTATAAACAGGAACAATTGGGTATAACTGTAATAATAATAAAGGAAAACACTCATATAGAAAGGGAGTGCCAGTAAAGAACAAAAAGGAAAAAGAAAATAAAAATGGAAAATTGGTTCTATCATTTATCCATCTTTAACCCTTTTCTTGTGAGAGAAAACACCCAACGAAACCTTTCATTATTTTTGTTTGGTCACATGACGCCTTCATATCATCTCAGTACTGGTAGAGCTAGAGTGGCCTGAAATGAACTCAGGGTGAACTTTTGAAGAAAGGTGGGGTTTCAATTACAGTACAGTGCAGGCAGTCTGGAGCAGGAGGAGGAGGAGGATTTTTATTACCTCAATTTACTGGTGGTTCATGGTAGACACATGTACATGTACTTGTACATTATCCACACTATACTAGAATATACTGTACAATGTATTTCGAGTCTCAAGTGTCCAATTAATGTAACTGTCTATATATAGCGTATTTATAATGTGCCAAGCCCACATGAATGATGTAATGTACGTATGCAGGGAAGGTGAGTACAGTAAAGTGCATTGTACATGTAGTCTATGTACATGTAGATACATACAAAACCATTCCTTTGTTAGATAGCCCTACCATGTTTTCTTTAAAATCAAATATGAGAATAACCTTGCATAAATGCGTGTAATACATGTGAAATATCAATCTCTGTTTGTACTCCACTGTTCCAGTCAACAGCACCAATCCCTCTCTTCTGTTTCGTCATATCCTACGTCAGTGGCATTATATTTACTTGAGGACACAACTACACTTGGGAGCGTGTTCATCCTCAAATGGAGTACGGCATTGGTGTTTGCAATACAGAGGAGATATAATATACCCCATGCATGCCACAGTAGGAGATTGAAAATTCAAGTTGTGTGGAAGAGATGCGTTCATCGATGCTTGGTATCATTAAAAATTTGCCTTCCAAGCTAAGGATTTTAATCCTAACATTATCTGAATATGGAGAGTAATATATGCATTTTATAAAATGCATATGTTTATTGATGCCCTGTATTTGGTAATTGCTACAAAGCAAGAAGCAAAAGATCAAGATAAACATGATAATGTTTTTCTAATCTCTCCCTATCTCCATGTTTTTCTTATTTCTCTCCATCTCTTCCCAATGATTCTTTGGCTTGATAGAGGAGCCTGTGATCAATTATATTTGCCGGTTGCCAATCTGTAACCCCAATTAGCATGTGATTCATCCAGTGCCTTCATTTAATCTCCAATTTACTCTCTTGTCCCAGAACTCCTGTCTGACCCCGAGATAATTAGGGACTGTCCACACAGCCAATATATATCTTTCATTAACTCTTGGCCAAGTCTAAGTTATCCCAACTCCCATCACTGCCAAACAATGTTTCTCTCGATCCAACCATGGATCTATACATGGGCACATGTACATTTGTAGCCTCGTGTAACCTTTGAGTTATGAGCACGATTTACACTAAATTTGTGGAAGAGGAACAGCCCACTAGACTTCTAACCTTTCAACTTCTCAGGTTGATTTAGGATGGCAATGTCAAACATTTGCTCAGTCCGCAGAGCAAATACTCTCAGGATTGCTACTCCACATCAAGCAATGATCTGCATAATTTGACTGTTGTTCTCACATCCGTCTAGCCCTGATAGGGTTGTCAACTAATATTGTTTTCCAGAGAATAATACGTTTCATGCTCTATTAAAAATCACCTTTGCCATTAAAAACAAAGACTTGATTCTTTGTAATGAGGAAGTAATGTTTTGACAGGATCGTGGAAGTAATGTTTTGACAGGATCCAGGATGTGACGTTCTACATGCACATCCATGGAACACAGAATGGAAAAAATATGGAAAGTCTCTGTCATATTTCAAGATGTTGCCTTCCATTCAACATATTGTAAAAAAAGAAAAAAAATATCTCCCAAACATTTATATTTTTGCATTGAAATGCCTCCTCCCCCCCCCCCCCCCCACACGAATCTCCTTTAAATAATACTTGATACAACACATTGGCACTTATAAATTTGGGGCAGACATCTTGAGGAAAAGAAGGGAGGAATTTTTCATACAACAGGGCGCGACAAACCCGCTTGCCCGACGTCCCGGGGCAACCAAATTGAGCCGTCGGGCAAGTAAATCAAATTATCACTTGCCCGATTCGGGCAAGTGATACTTTTACAGTAATTTCCTAGTGTCCAAGAACTCTACCATTCACCCGTCAACTTCTTACCCGTCGTCAAAATCCAGAAGCAAAAAAGCGATCGTTCCGATTTCGAAAAAACTTCACAGACAGCTAGCCAGCTCAGCTAGCTCAGCGCGCATATATGCAACAGTGACACTTCAAGCCATGAATGCCGCTCCGCCTCCACGCACGGCCGCCGTGAGCTAGCTAGAGACAGCTAGCGCGATCGTACCAGCTGCGAGCTTATTCGCGCTCTCTCTCTCTCTAGCTCTGCAGGCCGCACCGACAGGCCTTTGCTATTCTCTGATTGCCGATTGGTTGAATCACGCCAAATATGACGTCATTATTCTAGGGAAATGAACACGTGCGAATCGGAATGGAATAAACAACAGGGATTTTCTAGTAAGTACAAAAAGTCAAATGTTTGATATTTATTCATAATGACTGTTAATGATTGTGAACATATTATTTAAAACTCGCTGCTCATATAAATCAGATGAATGTTTTTGTCTCGTTTTCAATTTATTACTGCGGTCTCAAGATCCGACCGAGCGAGTCATTTTGATAATATCGAGACCCCCCAGAATATAAGCCGTTGTTGTTTTGTTTTCATGGTTTTAGCGACGTTGTTTAGTCTAGTTTTCGCATACTTATCCGAGATTTATCGTAAAATATCTTCAATATTATTATTTAGTAAGAATTTACAAATTTTGGCATGATATTTATAGCAGTGAATGATGAAATAAAAATGTCCGTACTTTATTTAAAATAGTTGATTACCCATTATTTACATGACGTTTCTTGATGGAAGAGTTGACCCAAATTATTAACAGCTGAAAATTAGCCTACGTTTCCAAATGACAGCGGCTTGCACAGACACACATGTGATGTTGCACCATGGTACATGTGGCTACCATTAATGACATGTTGTATCATATTTTTTACAACAGGGTCATTATGCTTTTTTACATGACTGAATATTAAAAACTTAAACCTGCTTGAACCATTCTACCTTGCCGAGATTCATGTGAATCTGATTATTTATGGAGAATCAATAAAATGCGTTTTTTAAACCTTCAACCATCCTTTGTTGACCATTTTCTTTGACATATTAGGTTATTATTCAGTACAGTTACACTGTACATGTATGTGCATTAATTTGCTATCTAAAACACTAACTTATCATTACGAGATAATAAATGCTTTAACCTCGAGTCCTTTTTTCGCTTTAAAGTTTTGGGCAAGTGGAAATATTGTTTGGGCAAGTAAATTGAAAACCCACTTGCCCGACAGGGCAAGTGGTGAAAAATTCTTGTAGCACCCTGTACAATAGCAATGGATAATTTCTTGGAAGCATTGTATACTATGTATGAAGTTGAACACAATGCTCCGACTAGAGCCTAGAGGCCCCTAATTCATTGCTTTACATACATGTACACAGGTCATGCAATAACCTTAGCCTACAAGACAAGCATTAGCCAACTTGCTAAAGGATTTGGGGCCTTGTTTTTTCTCCTAGCATCTCACTCACACACACACACAGAGACTGCTCGCACCAATAATGAATTCAAGGAACCCGGCTGCTTGAGATGAGAGAGGGATGAGAGAGGCGGAGAGAGCGCCTCAGAGCCCGTTTTTAATTTGGCAAATGAAGGAAACCAGCATGAGTCACTAGAGCAAAGCAAGCCACGGCCGGCGAGTCGAAGTGAGCGAGCGAGTAAGCACAATCAGTGCGTTAACATACAAGATCTTATATGAAGGATAGTTAACAGCATGCCAGGGATACTAGATGCCTGTGTGGCATGCATTCCTGGAGACCAGGACCAGATATCCTATTGATGAGAGAGATTGTCATGACTTCACCGAGGACCATTCACGTTACACAAATGCAACATCATAGTTTATTTATATTTATGCAAGAGTCAGCTAAGTTTGACTATTGAGTAAAGGTCCATGACTAGCACATTATTTGTAAGTTTATTTTTATTACTAACAGTGATTCACACAATATAAGTTTCATTCACAAAATAACTCTTTGCAAGAACATAAAACCATGTCCCAGGCCTATGGGTTGATAGTTGATACCTCCAATTTCACACACCATTTTGAGTTAAAGACCATGTTGTGTCAGATGTCATCTATTGTAGGCCCTGACGCCTCAATACTTTCATGGATATAATGGCCCATTATCTAAGAAGACATTCCTAATGTCATCATTGAAAAGGGCATGCATCGTCAAAGAGTGAACCCCATCTAGGCTATGCCATCACATGATGATTAACTCTATTCGTTTTAAAAAAAATTAAAGAGAGAAACAAGGGGAAATCCTATAATGTATTTCTAGATCAATCAAGGCTTGCAGAACTTGGCCACGGCATGGAATTTAATTAATGTTCATCAGAATGTTTCCAAGCCTGAGCATAATAATGTCTTCACTTTGTTGGATTTTGACAGGAGCAATAGCTACGTGACACTGTCACTAGGAGATCTATGAATCTGCTCTTTCTACAGATATGAAAGCTAGAATATGTTGTTAATGTGTCCAACAACTCCCCACCCTGGGAGAGTGAAACA